ATACCATTAACATTTAGGGTAGTTACTAAAATATATTTTTAGGTTTCTTTTCTGGATTTGTTATTCTTTTGTCGTTGTCTGTTTTCTTTTCTTGTATTTCAACATGCCTTCTTTTGTTTGCTTTGAGTTTCTTCTGTGTTTGATTTCCACAGGTTTTGTTTGAAGGTTGTCAGGAGTAAGAGTGAGTACAGGAAGCTGAATTTGCAGAGGTATTTTGAATCAACTTCCGTGTAGGCAGCCTTTGGAGCCCTTCCCTTGCAGGCTGTGGAAGCCCAGGGCCCATCCCTGTACATTCCATACTTGTAGGGACAGGTCGGCCGTAGGAGCTATAAAAACCAGACCAAGTGTCCATTAAACAAAATTGTCTTATGACAACTTTTTTATATAGGGGCCACACCCAGTGGTGCTTGGGACCCTGGGGACCATTCCTGGTGGTGCCAGGGTTCTGACTCAGGACTTTGCACATGCTTGGCAAGTACTCTACCACTGAACTATATCTTGTGGTCCCCTTATTATAAATTTCTATGCCTTAATTTGCGTTTCCTGACACCTAAATGTTACCTGCCTCAAACAGAAGATCTCAAATTTTAAAATACCTTTTTGAATTTATTTTTGTTTAACTAGGACGTTAGGAATTGCGATATGCTGTTCAAGACAAATACTTCATTATTAATAATTACTTCAACATAAAATTTCCTCTGTTGACATTAGGCTACCTGTCATAATGGTATATACATCAAAATTTGAACCGGGGAGACGGGAAAGCAGCTATTCGAACACAACGTGCTCTCTCAGCTTCTGTCTTTATGCAGCCCCCAACTTTAAGCTCTGAAAAACATTCTTTTCCTTTTTTTCCATGGAGCAGATCTCTTTTACATTAGTTGATGGTTTTCTTGATTGTTTGCTTTGTTTGTTTTAGTTTCAGGGTCACCCCCAGTAGTGCTCAGGGGTTACTCCAGGCTCTGCATCCAGGAAGTACTCCTGGCGGACCATGTAAGATGTTGAGGCTCAAACTTGGGTCGACTCGTTTCTTTTTTTCCTATCACCAGTCCCAAGATTTGTATGAAAAGATTTATAGGTGTGGCCTACTAGGCAAGTTGATCTTACATTCATTGTAGCGGACAGCAGTTTTGCTCATCTCTTTCCCCGCCTGCATTGTAATTTTTAGAGAAGATTGATTTTCATTTATAGGAGACACCTTTACTTGTCTCCTAGGGCTGGAGAGAGCCCCCACTGAGTAGAGCACATGTTTCATATGCAGGAGGCCCAGGTTTGATCCCTGGCAGCTCAAGCACTGACAGAAGCAACGTCTTACCCCAGCACAGAGCCGGGAGTAGCCCCTGAGCAGTGCCAGATGTGCTCCTCCCCGAACCCTCCCATATACTTGATCACTTGACCACTAGACATTCTGGTACTCATCATCTGCTTGAGCAGGCACCAGTAACGTCTCCATTCTTTCCTGTCGCATGCTAGTGTAGCCCAGTGGTGTCTGCTCGTTCTAGGAACATGAAGAGCCTCAAACCGGTATTTCAGGGTCTTGATGAAGAAGTCTGACCATCTCGTAGGTGAGCAGCCACACTATCTTTTGACATCACATGGAATTCAGTCAGTAATGGCTCTAGTCCAGCAGTCATCTCCAAATCGCATTACGTGTCTGGCCCATCTGATTTTCCTTGGCAAAGGAGACAGCATCCCTGATTCTTGATCATTGATGGAGGTCGGAACTCCACATTCTTTCTTTCATTTGAGTGAAGCGTGATACTCCAAGCATAGCTCTTCCTCTTTGGGAGACCTGAATAGCGTACTCGTCCTGTTTTCGTAGGGCCCAGGTCTCTGAGGCATATGTTAATGCAGGAAGAACAGTAGAATCGAAGAGATGTGCCTGGAGCTGGAGGTTTTTCGTTCTCTTAGCTATTTCTTTGACACTCTTGAAAGCGTTCCAAGCCGCTCTCTTCCTCCTGCACAACTCAGGTGCCAGCTCATTCGTCATGTTGACTTCTCGACCTAGGTACACATAACTGTTGCTTTTGGAGATGTTCATTCCATTGAGAGCAAATGGAATGTCAGGAACGAGACCGTTTCTCATAAACATTGTCTTCGTCAGATTCAGTTGTAGTCTGACCTTTCCACACTCATGGTCGAAGCATCTGTGCTGCTTGGCTAGTGTTTGGTGTTATTAGAACAATGTCATCAGCAAAGTGGAGGTGGTGTAGTTGACGACCGTCTATCTTCACTCCCATTCCAGTCGTCGCATGATGTTCTCGAGGGTGGCACTGAAGAGTTTCGGTGAAATGGTATCACCCTGCCGAACCCCTCTCTTGACATCAACGATCACTTCTTTGTAGAATGGTGAGATCCTTTTAGTGAATCCATAATAGAGCTCATGGAGGATCCTGATGTATTGAGTTTGAATGCCCTGTTTGGCTAGGGCTTCGATGGCCGCTTCAGTCTCAACACAATCAAAGGCCTTCTTTAAATCAATGAACGTTAGACAGAGCAGCATCTTGACCTCCCGAGAAACCTCAATGAGCTTGGTTACCATGTGGATATGGTCGATCGTGCTGAATCCTTTGCGGAACCCGGCTTGCTCACATGGTTGTTCTTCATCTAGTGTTCTGCCAATCCTATTCAGGATGACTCAAGTGAACAGCTTGTAGAGGACAGACAACAGGCAGATCGGCGATAGTTGCCAATGTCATGGAAGTCTCCTTTCTTGTACAGTAGTACAGTCCTGCTGGTTTTCCATTGGGATGGAACCTTGCATTCAGACAGGTAGCATGTGAAGAGCTGAGCCAGTGTATTAATGAGTACTGAGGGCAGAAGCCGGGAAAAGAATTTGCAACACCTGCCTGTCCTTCGCCAACTACAAGACCAAGATGACTGCCCTCCAATGTCCTGATAGATCCATCACATCTTCCAGAAGGTCAATAGAGAAGATTATTCATGACTTCTATTCGGATCTCTGAAATAGCCACGTCCACCTGCCCACATACCAAATTCCGCAGGATGGATATATCGTTCCCAGCGTTCTCCCTTCCGAAATTCAATACGCCATTTTGTCGGTAAAGAAGTGAACAGCACCTGGCCCAGACAAGGTCAGACCCGAACACCTGAAGAACCTGCCATCAGTACTCCCATATACATACATACATGTATACATATACATATATATATATTTTTTTCAAAGTTTGATGGTGATGAGTTGCTTTGATTTTTGTCAGAAAAACTATTTATTGTCCTTCTATCCTAAATGATAACCTGGCAAGGTAGAGTATTCTTGGTTGAAAATATGTTTCTATTCCAACTTGGAATATCTCATGAATGTGTCCTAGATGGTTTCTGTGGAAATGCCTATGGTTAATTTTATGGAGTTCCCATATATGGACTTTGTTTTTCCTCTTGATGCTTGTAGTATTGATCTTTTTTTTTGTTTGTTTGGTTGGTTTTTGTTTGATTTTGGGGCCATGCCTGATGATGCTTTGGGGTTCCTCCTGGCTCTGCATTCAGGAATGACTCCTAGAAGTGCTCAGGGGACCATATGAAATGCTGGATTGAACCCAGGTCACCTGCATGCGAGGCAAGCACCTTGCCTACTGTACTGTCTCCAATCTTGGAGAATAGAGTTCAGTACATTAATATTATGTGTACAGGTTATCTTAGTTATCCCTCTCAGAACTCAGCCCTAAATAATTCAGAAAAAAAAAATGCTACACAATGGAGTACTATGTAGCGGTTAGAAAAGATGAAGTCATGAAATTTACATACAAGTGGTACTACATGGAAAGTATCATGTTAAGTGAAATGAGTCAGAAAGAGAGGGATAGACATAGAAAGATTACATTCATCTGGGGAACATAAAGTAACAAAATAGGAGACTAACACCCAAGAATGGCTGAGATTAAGTACCAGGAATTTTGCTCCATGGCTTGGAGGCCAGCCACACATGCTAGGGGAAAAGGCAGCTCAGACAGAGAAGGGAGCACCAATTAAAGGGTATTGGGAAGATCCTCCCAGGATGGGAGAAGCATGCTGAAAGTAGACTATAGACCAAACATGATTGCCACCCATTGCTTCTTTTGCAAACCAGAACACCCAAAAGGAGAGAGAGAACAGAGGGGAATGGCCTGCCACAGAGGCAGGGTGGGATGGGGGGTGGGAGGGATACTGGGATCCATGGTGGTGGGAAATGGGCACTGATGGAGGGATGGGTATTTGATCATTGTATAATTGAAACCCAAGTATAAAATTTGTAAGTCTACAACTGTACCTCATGGTGTTTCACTAACAAAAATTTAAAAAAAAAAAATGTAAATGATGGAGAATGGGCACTGGTGGAGGGATGGATACTGGATCATTGTATAACTGAAAGCCAAGCACAAAAATTTGTAAGTCTACAACTGTACCTCATGGTGTTTCACTAATAAAAATGTAAAATAAAATTAAAAAAAGAACGCATATTAAGATTTTTATTTTGGCCACATGCAGCTGTGCTCAGGACTTACTTTGGATCTGTGCTCAGTGCTTACTCCTGCCTCTGCACTCAGGGCTTATTCCTAGCTGTGTTCAGAGATCACTTACAGCAGGCTCCAGGGATCATATGGGATGCTGGGGATTGAACCTGGGTTGGCCACATGCAAAGCAAGAGCCCTACCTGTTGTACTATAACACCAGCTCCAGTTTTTGTTTTTGTATTTTAATAGAAAAATTCCTCTGTGAAAATTTAGATAAAAACAGAAAAGTGCATATTGGTTCAAAAAAACGATAATTCTATAGAGATGATTGCTGTTAATATGCTTGTCTCTAACTTTCCATTTTATATATGTTTCAGACAATAGAGAGTTTGTAAGAGACATAGATTATTTTAAAATACCTGTATTATCACAAAAGTTGATGATATAATGTGTTACCCAGAGGGTTTCTTCAGAGAGCCAGCTCTGAGGACCTGCAGCGAGATACAGCAGGTGCCCTTGCTCATCGATGTGTTGGCTCGTCTGTTGCAGAAATTGGCGTGCTGGCCAAGACCTTCATTGACCAAGGCAAGCTCATCCCCGACGATGTCATGTCCCGGCTGGTACTTCATGAGCTGAAAAATCTCACCCAGTGTAACTGGCTCTTGGATGGTATGTGGATGTCACTGGGTGCCCAAACCTGACTGTCCAACGGCCTCTGGGGGATGCCGGCCACCAAGCTGCAAGAGGGAGCAGGCAGAGGGACAGCACCCTTTCCCCCCTAGGGTGACCCGGCACTACTAACCCACTGCATGTACTGGATGCATTTCTGCCAAAAGCCTCTGGGTTCCAAGATTTGTTTCTGAGTCCCTTGGATCGTGGCTGCTAAGCAGCTTGATCAGGAGCTAGAGAAGCCATTCATGGGTGGCGACTCGGGGTCTCATTGGGGTGGGGAGGAAAGGGCCGGCTCCACCCCATCCTGTGAGGCCCTGCGTGTCTCATCACTGCAGGCCCGAACCTGACCATCCAGTGGCCACTGGAGGATAGCGGCCACTGAGCCGCCAGGGGGAACAGGCCAACGCACCTATTCCCACCTGGGGTGGCCTGGCGCCAGTAATCAACTGCAGGGACTGGACGCATTTCTGCCAAAAGCCGCTGGGTTTCGAGGTTTGTTTCTGAGTCTCTTGGATCATGGCTGTTAAGCAGCTTGATCAGGAGCCAGAGAGACCATTCATGGGCAGGACTCGGGGTCTCGTTGGGGTAAGGAGGAAAGGGCCGACTCCACCCCCTCCTGTGAGGCTCTGCGTGTCTCGTCACTGTGGGCCCAAAGCTGACTGTCCAATGGCCTCTAGAGGATGACGGTCACCAAGCCGCTAGAAGGGAGCAGGCGGAGGGACAGCACCCTTTCCCTTCTGGGATGGCCCGGTGCCAGTAACCTACTGCGGTGACCAGATGCATTTCTGCCAAAAGCCTCTGGGTCCGAGATTTGTTTCTGAGTCTCTGGGATCATGGCCATTAAGCAGTTTGATCAGGAACCAGAGAGGCCTTGCCTCCATTTATATAGCTGAGCCGGAGGTGGTTTGTGGGTGTGTCTCCCTCATACCTAACTTTTGGCCATTTACTTTCTTGGTAAACTTGGCCTTAAGTTGTTGGGTTCTGGCCAAAGGCACAGCAGCACTTTGGGGGTACCTAGAATTCTGAAGGTACCAGCAGGCTGCTGATGCACTCACCTTACAGATACAGATTGACCTGCTGGCAGCACCATACCCTCAGGCCAGTTTTCTTTTCTGGGTTAGTTTTTTTATTGAATTGGAAGGTGAGAAATCGGTCTCGTAATTTCTACACCCCATTCACTTGCACTCAGGAATTACTCCCTCATTTCGGTTGGGGACTGTATTGGATGCCGAAGATGGAAGCCTAGTTGGCCATGTTCAAGGCAAGCGTCCTCACCTCTGTACTGTCTCTTCAGCCCCGATAGGACTTTTCCCTTCCTTTAATAGGCACGTTTCCACCAAAGGAGATTGAGTTACCTCAGCAGTTACTTTTCACCTCCAGAAGGATAGTGGAATTCTTTAGATTATGGTGATTTTTAGTTTCTAAAGAGGGGAGGGAGTTGCTGGAAGTTTATATCTTTATTTGCTTTTTGTTTTGTTTTGTTTTGTTTTGTTTTAAGCGCTGCAGCTGGCAGTTCTCAGGGGCTGTTCCTGGCTCTGTGCTCAGGAGTCACTCCCAGCCATCCTCAGAGGACTATGTGGTATTAGGAGTTGAATACGGGCCTTCTAAATATTAAATTATTTTTAATTAATTGGATTAAACCACTCCAATTGGATTAATTTAATTAATTAAATACAACCCATTGGGCTAGAGCGATAGCACAGCGGTAGGGCGTTTGCCTTGCACGCAGCCAACATGGCCGACCCTGGTTCGATTCCTCCGCCCCTCTCGGAGAGCCCGGCAAGCTACCGAGAGTGTCTCGCCCGCATGGCAGAGCCTGGCAAGCTCCCCGTGACGTATTCGATGTGCCAGACACAGTAACAACAAAGTCTCCAATGGAGACGTTACTGGGCCCGCTCGAGCAAATCGACGATCAACGGGAGGGCCTTTACTTTACTTACAACCCATTGGATATGTATTTATTGTGAAGAATTTTTGTTTTTTGTTTTTTAAATGTGACTATGAAACTGATGCATCCCAAAGATGTGTGGACTCAGTAAGGTGAAGTCTGTAGGCCAGTAGGCTTCTGACCTAGGAAGAGCTGTGTTTGAGTTTGAGTCTGAAGGCTGGAAAGAGTTAGGGTCCTAGTTCCAAGGCCACCAGGCCACCTTAATCAGGGGAAGGTGGGCTCATTTATCCTGCGCAGACCTTCAGTGGATTGGATCAAGCCTGTTTCCCCACTTCAGGGAGAACAGTCTGTTTGATCAGTCTGTTTGATTCAATCTGCTGATTTGTGTTAATCTCATTTGAAACCACACAGACACACCCAAAGTAATATTTGGCCAGAATTTCTGGGCGTCATGTGGCCCAGTCAGGTGGACGCATACAACTATCACAGTGACCCGTGGCTGAGACCGGCCAGCCTGCAGTTGACCAGGTTGTTCAGATTGCTTCACATTCTCTTCCTTCTACTTTCTCTCTTTCATTCCTCCCTTCCTTATTTTTTTAAATCACTTTTTTTTCTGCATAGGTTTTCCAAGGACACTTCCACAGGCAGAAGCACTGGACAAAGCCTACCAGATAGACACAGTGATTAATCTGAACGTGCCCTTTGAAGTAATTAAGCAGCGCCTCACTGCTCGCTGGATTCATCCGAAGAGTGGCAGAGTCTACAACATGGATTTCAACCCTCCCAAGACTGTGGTGAGCAGTGGCAGAAGAACTGACGTGACTCTCCACAGAGTCGACCCCTCGTGACTTCACAGTTTTGATTTTTGACCTTGGAAAGGCTACCCTGATCTAGACTCCTGAGGCAGAGTCTTTAGTGCACTCAGCTTGGTGGTAAAGGATGGACCGAGCTCAGGGGTTTCTGATTCCTTCAAAAACATTTATTGTGCCAGGGATTGTGTTAGGAGGTAGGGCGGTCAAGATTGGTGACACTTGGCACTTGGGCTTATGCAGGGCTTGCTACTGAGATTTCTCGTCCACAGCTGAAACCCTTCTTTTTATTTTTTCTTTGGCTTTTTGGGTCACGCCTGGCAATGCTCAGGGGTTCCTCCCGGCTCTCCACTCAGGAATCACTCCTAGTGGTGCTCAGGGGACCATCTGGGATGCTGGGGATGGAACCTGGGTTGGCTGTGTACTAGCTGTGTGGAAAATGCCTGCCATTGTATTACTGTTTAGGCCCTGAAGCCTTTTTGTAAAAGTGTGTAAAGTTATCTGGCAGCAGCTCTGAAGGCTTTTTACTTACAGGAGACTCACTCTGGAAATGATCCTGGGGTCTCCTAGTTTGGATCTGGATTTGAGTCTATTTCAAAACATACACTGGTGTGTCTTCTTGCATAGAGAATATGTCTGTTTAAGAAATGTATAATTGGGGCTGGAGAGATAGTCCAGTGGGTAGGGTGTTGGCCTTGCACTCAGCCAACCAGGATTTGATCTCCTGCATCCCATATGGTCCCCTGGTCCACCAGGAGTGACTGCTGAATGCAGAGTCAAGAGTAACCCATTAGAATTGCCAAGTGTGGCCCAAGAACCAAAATAAAATAAAATGAAGTAATACATAACTGCTTCTGAAAATATCTTGCAGAAATAATATATTTGATACTGGCCTCTTTGAACTTCTATTTAGGGCATTGATGATGTGACTGGAGAACCTCTTATCCAGCGGGAGGATGATCGGCCAGAAACAGTGATTAAGAGACTGAAGACCTATGAAGCCGAAACACAGCCAGTCCTGGAATACTACCAGTGAGTTTATTATTTTTCTTAACTTTTCTTGCAGGAGGTAGTGCTGGGTCCATTTTTGTGTGTATCTATGTTTTACAGTTGAGATGCTAAAAGACGAAAAGATTTCGTTCAAGTTGGTTTAAACAATGGGACACTTACTAATTTGTGTAACCAAGAAGTTCAAAAGGTAGTTTGGGCTTCCCGGTCAGTCCACAGTGAGCTCAAGAATGGCTCAGTTTGCCATTCTCTCAGCCATAACTTCCTGTGTGTTGGCTTTTTTTGTGTAGTTTTGTTTGGGGGCCATACCGAGCCGTTCTTATCGGCTACTCTTGACATGTTGCTTGGGGGCACTCCCAGTGATGCTTGGTGGGATCATGTGTTGGGGATTCAACCTGGGTCTCCAGAATGCAAAGTATGTGCTTGGGCCGATTGCTCACTCTCCAGCCTTGTGTGTCGGGTCTGTCCTCAGGCCTGGTTGCAGCTAGTTGCCAGGGACCACCATGGCATCCTTTGCACCACCCCACAAAGAAACAATCCAGTTTCCTTAATCAGCATTTCCCTCTCCTGCAGAGGATTACTTTTCATGCCCTTTCCTTTCATGCATTCACTTACCGGGTAAGGATTCGGTTTCGAGACAGTCTAGTACTTAGGTTTGAGACAGACTCAGGAGCTTGACTGCCTACATTGGAGAGACCAGGGAGGCTGATTTCTAATCCCAGCTCACCATTTGTTCACATGGCATCAAAGCTCTTGCTTAGTCTGTTTTCTCCTTTGTAAAATGGGAGATTAGCGGGTTGAAAGATGAGATAAATGTGTAACTCTTCATAATTTTGTCTGACACATATTAAGCACAATATGATTATTAGTTCTTACTATTATTATTGCTCGAGCGGTGGGCCTGCTCGAGCAAATCGATGAACAACGGGAAGACAGTGACAGTGATTATTGTTGCTGTAATAGGGTTAATTTGCAGTGAAATCTGAATGAGCAGCCTACAAATTATTTTAATAGTTACTCCTGGGGAGTAGGAAAGGAGTAGGAAACTCACTTTCTGTAGTCGCCATTATTATAATTTTGATTTGTTTATAAGCCCAGCTTTGCAGAGAACCAGATGGGTAGCCCTGGGAAAAGCATTTAACCGTGTGCCCCAAATTCTCCATTGGTCAAATCATAGCATTATTATTAAATGGTACCTACTTTCCAGGTAGTGCTCTGGGAGTTAAAGGAGAGAATTCATGTGAAGACTTAAAACTACCCTGGCACTATCCAGTCACTGTGTTAGCTATTCCTCTTGGTGACACTGTGCCGCACCCTCAATGATCATTAGAGTCAGACCTCGCCATGCCTCAGAAAACTCTGTTTATATGTGAGTGAACCAGAGAGCTGGGTAGGAAATATTGGTTCTTCAATGTGATATGTGCTGACGGCAGTCAGGAATCTAATTCACCCTAGTTTAAACCAAAGGAAATTAGTTGGTCAGGTAATGGACAAGTCCAAAGGTTGGGTCCAGGTTTTCAGATGGCATCATCTGGTCTCCGTTCACGCTCAGCTTCATTCTCCTCTGTGGGCTAGTCTTCAGGTGAGCTGTCCCAGTGCAGCCCCCTCAACATTCAAGTTCAAAGAGGGGGCCCTGCCAGCAGATGTCCTAGAGTTGGCACTTGTTAGCTTTCACCAGGCCCCTCAGTGAAGTTGGGGACGGAGACTGTCCTATCTGAATCGCAGAATGAGGTTGGTGAGGTGACTGTTTCCCCAGAGAGATTTGGGGATTTGTTCTGTAAAAAGTTTGGGAAGGCTGCGAAAAGAGTGTGCGGCCTGGCCTCACTTTGAGGAGGTGCCCTGGTCCTTGTCAATTGGCTTTTTTTCTAATCTTTCTGCCACTAATCGCGATTTGTCTTGTTCTAAGCTCCTGCACACAGTACAAGGCTGAACTTCCCCTGAGATTAAAAGTGACATCTGCAGCAACCTTAGTGAGAGTCGGCATTATTATTTAAAATTGTTGGCCATTAATATTCCTTTCAGCCGAGTGACATTGATAGAATGATGAGGGGTGTTTATAAACACTATGCTCTCACTCTTTAGGGCAGGGTTTCTTAAATATTTGTCACCAAGACCTCTTTTCACCAAAGAAACTTTTACATGACCCTGGCATACAGGTCTACTGAATAGGAACACAAAACGCTTACTAGATAGTAAATCATAACGAGATTGATTTTAACACACTTAATTGTGGTGGTGGGGGGGCACACCCAGCAGTGCTCAGACTGACTCCTGCCTCTATGCTCAGGGGTCATGCCTGGTGATGCTCAAGGACCATCTGTGATGGATTGGTCACATGCAGGGCTCTCTTTTCAGGACCGTATGTGATTGGTCAGTCACATGCACATGCTCTATTCGCTGTACTATCCCTCCAGTCTCTTAAAACACATTTTAAAAAACTTCAGCTACCTCACATAGGGTTGTAACACATAGGTTAAAAAGTTAGGTCTTAGAGGTGTAGAAGACAGGTAGTCAAAGCTAGTTCTGTTTTATTACATGAAGATCAAAATGTTCATCCAAGGTAGTTTTAGAACTGCAAGTCCCGAAAGTTGTGTCTTTGATGTTGGTCCACGTATGACCTTAATTTCACTTTCAAAGGGTTCTTCAAGATGCTTAGAGTAGTACAGATGCTGATTTTTGTTTTGTTTGGAGTTTGGGACCACACTCTCTGGTGCTCAGGAGACCCGCTGTGGTGCCAGGGTTAGAACCCTGGTCCACCACACACAAAACAAGCACCCTACCTTGCAGTAGTCCAACATGCTTCTTCTACAAGATGCTACAAGATGCTCTGGAGCCCAAAGTGCTTCTTATGAAAGTTTTGGGAATCCAGAAGGACTTTTTTATATGCAAGGAATACCGTATTTAATCTCTCTGCTTAGCAGATGTTTCTTAAAATAATGGGAATGATTTTTGTCTTAACTCTAGCAAATGTTATGAGATATGAAGAAAGGAGTAATTTTGTTTTCAGTGAAATCTCTGAAAAAGATGGTTGCAGACTCTCACTGTCACTGCCCTCCCGTTGTTCATCGATTTGCTCGAGCGGGCCCAGTAACGTCTCCATTGTGACAATTGTTACTGTGTTTGGCATATCGAATACTGGTAATGAGTTATAGCATTCTTCAGGTGCAGCCTTTACGTCAGTTTGAGTGTGAGTGGGTTGGAGAAAAAGGGTCTGCAAGGGGAATGCCAGAATCTTGAGGTAATTTGTTTTAAAAATCCAACCCCGGGTTTTTTTGTTTGTTTTAACTTTTCCTCACCATATTACAAGAAATTGGCTGTTGATTTACTGACAGGTCAGGCAGATTGTCTTGGGGGCAACAGGAACCACCATAAAAACACTCTTTACCCCTAACTTTAAGAGGGATAGCAGAGAGGGGGGAAAAAAATCTAAGAGTACAGAAGGAAGGATAAACAAATACTAGAAAGTGTCCAGAAGACTGAGAAGGCCAAGTGGGTATTTGGGAGTCTGGCGGGCCCTAAGGTGTTCATTCTGTCCAAAGAGGTGCATGGGGGACTCGGCTACGTGGGCTAGAAGGGTCAAAGCTGCAACTGAATATGTGATGCCTCTTGGCGGTTGTGGTGCTGGAGATGTCCAGTCCCACCCAGCAGAGCTGGAGGACCACCAGGGCCATCTGTGCTGGGGGGTGAGAGAGCCTCCAGAGACAGACTCAGCGATGCAAGGGGCTAATGCTGGTGACCTAACCAGGGTCCCATGTACGCAAGGCATGTACTCTAACTCCTGCACTGTCCTCCAGTCCTAGGTATTGTTCGTGTGTGTGTTTTAATTGGTTTGTGTTTGGGTTCCACATTGCAACGCTCAAGGGCTGCCCCTGGTGGTGCTCAGGGGACCTTGGTATTATTTCCATTGTGTGTCAACCATGCCATGCGCCAACCGTCAACCCAGGGCCTCAAGCATGCAGCGCCTGCACTTGCCTGCACTCTCCCCTTGAATCACATCCCCTGTCCTCACACTTAGCATCCTTTAAGAACCACTTTGAATAAACTTAGAAACCAGGCATATATTATTGCTTTGTTTTGTCTTGTCCTCTTTAGGAAAAAAGGAGTGTTGGAAGTATTCACCGGAACAGAAACCAACAAGATCTGGCCCTATGTATATGCTTTCCTACAAACAAAAGTTCCACAAATCAGTCACAAAGAGTCAGTTACTCCATGAGGAAATATACCGATAGATAGTAAGATGAGAAGCTTCTTTTCCTTCTCTCTTTAGAAACTTCTTGCCCTCAGATTCCGGCAAGTATGAATTCTTAAAAAATTTAATTCATTTCTGATGATTTATTCTGGAAATAAAAGATGTGCCAAAGGAGTCAAGATACTCAGATCGATATTTTTGAATCGACGACTGTCTTTTATACAATTATCACCTGCTGATGTACAGTTCACGAACATCAGTGATGTTTAAACTTTCGAAGACCAACAGAGATGGTTTTCCAACTACTGCTTAGCAAGTGATTGACAGATATTCTTTATTTTTCTTGGGAAGGTAAAAAAATTCATGTCATTTGGGGGAAAGTATCTCATTGGAGGCTCTTGTGTAGTTTTATGCCAAAATCGGTATTTCTAGCACTGTGGTACCATTTTTTTTAGATGTTATATCTATAAAATTCCAGGAAAAAGCAACAGTATTTCCACATCAGTTCCAGGATGCAAATTCACTGCTGCCTTTACACTAAGAAACGTACAGTATATGCTGTATCTGTTTTGTTATGATGCATACCTTCAGCTTAGAATTTTCAATTTGCTATAAAATGTTATATTAAGAATCATTACTTTCACATGACTTTTGGAAATGCCTGTGTACTGATGTATTATATTTAATGTGTACACATGACTTGTTAGAAATTGATAATATAAGTTCATGCAAGAGCACCAAATATGAATTTTCATTGGAAAATGTACTTGAAATCATAAGTTTCATAAGCTTATGTTACTTATGCTACTTATGTTAAGAAATGTGTGCACTGGGTTCTGCCTGTCAGTTTTTCTTTTTGCTTAAGATGTGTGATTTGCCTTGATGAGTGACAGAGTACAAGGGGGGGAGGGGAAACTAAGAGGAAATCCACGGCACTATGTAAAGTAATAGAAATAGATCAGCTATTCTTGAGCATATGTCCACTGACACAGAAATAGCAATTTTAGTTAACAGGTATAACGATGAAAAGGAATTACTTGATAGCCAAAAAAGGACCAGGACGGGGCTAGGAGTTATAGTACAGCTGGTGGGGTGCTGGCCCTGCACGTGACCTACCTGGGGTTCGATCCCTGGCATCCTATATGGTCCCCTGAGCACTGTCAGGAGTGATTCTTGAGTACAGAGCCAGGAGTAACCCCTGAGCATCGCCAGTGTGGCCTCATAACAGACAAACAGGACCAGGAAAGTAACTGAACTTGCTGAAGGAGTTCTGATTCCTAATCAGATGTGACACTTGTTGGTGTTCACTGCCATCCTGTCTTCGGGGGAAAGAGTTCTGCTGCAGACTGACATCTGAGCAGCCACTTAAAAATCAACGATTTCTTAGTTGGGGCAGCAAGGACAAACAAAATACAGCAATGTGTGCTTCTGCTGCCCAGAGAAACCCCATGTTGTCTTCATGGAATAGTCACTCCTACTTGGTGCTAAGTCAGACGAAATGAGTCCTTGTACATGCTACATCAACTGCCTTTGAAATTCTGGCCCATTTTATTACAGATACTTAAAATATAAATGCCAGCAAGTGTTTCTTACATATCTTCTGATTTTTAGAACTTCAGTGTTCTTTCCAAACGGACCAAGGCTTTCAAAAAAAAAAATACAGTAAATATTTACAAACTTTCTATAATGCCTTATTTGAATGTTAATAGTGTGTGCTTCCTTAAAATGTTATAACACTAACCTTATGAATTATCACTAGGTTATTAGATATTTTATTAATGTATTAAATAAAATTAAATTTCACAACTGTGGATCTGACTGTCTTTTGGCACTTCACAGGGCTCACTCCACCCCTCTGCTCTGCGGTTCTGAATCTCACGAGCTTTTATATTAGTGACTATTTTCTAATCATTGTATTAAAAACAGTACAAAGTTTATACATTTCATGCTATACTTTATTATCTCCTGCTGTAGCACAGCGGTAGGGCATTTGCCTTGCGTGCGGCCGGCCTGGCTGAGCCAGGTTCGATTCCTCCGCCCCTCTCAGGGAGCCTCGCAAGCTACCAAGAGTATCTCTCCCGCACGGCAAAGCCTGGCAAGCTACCCGTGACATATTCGATATGCCAAACACAGTAACAACAAGTCTCACAATGGAGACGATACTGGGCCCGCTCGAGCAAACTGATGAACGACGGGAGGACAGTGACAGTGACAGAATTATATCCATACTGGTCATCTTGACACTTCAGGGTTTGGAAAGCAAAAGGTACTACTCGGCTATGAAAATTATGACTTTCTCATAAATGTGACCCCTTCTCTACAACTGAAACATTTTTTTTAAATTTTGTTTCTTTCTTTTTTTTTTTTTTTACAGTTGTAGATTTACAATTTTTTGTGCTTGGGTTTCGATTATACAATGATCAGATACCCATCCCTCTACCAGTGCCCATTTTCCACCACCATGGATAATATCCCCCCACCCCCATCCCCCTTCCCCCCCCTGCCTCTGTGGCAGGGCAATCCCCTGTGTTCTCTCTCTCCTTTTGGGTGTTGTGGTCTGCAAAAGAGGCATTGAGTGGCAAACATGTTCACTCCATAGTCTACTTTCGACATGCATCTCCCCTCCTGGGAGGATCCTCCAAACACCCTTTATTTGGTGCTCCCTTCTCTCTCTGAACTGCCCTTTCCTCTAGGATACCCGGCTGGCTTCTAAGTTATGGAGTAATCCTCCTGGTGCTGATCTCAGCTATTCTTGTGTATTAATCTCATACTTTGTTACTTTATATCTAACCCCAGATGAATGCGATCTTTCTATGTCTATCCCTCTCTTTCTGACTCATTTCGCTTAGCATGATACTTTCCATGTTGTACCACTTGTATGTAAATTTCATGACTTCATCTTTTCTAACTGCTACATAGTACTCCATTGTGTAGATGTACCAAAGTTTCTTTAACCAGTCATCTGTTCTTGGGCATTCAGGTTTCTTCCAGTTTCTGGCTATTGTAAAGAGTGTTGCAATGAACAAACAAGTGCAGATGTCACTTCGACTATACATTTTTGCCTCTCTGGGATATATTCCCAGGAGTGGTATTGCTGGGTCAAATGGGAGCTCAATTTCTAATTTTTTGAGAATCGTCCATACTGTTTTCCAGAAGGGCTGAACCAGTGGACATTCCCACCAACAGTGAAGGAGTGTCCCTTTCTCGCCACATCCACGCCAGCATCGGTTGCTTTTGCTCTTTTGAATGTGGGCCAACAACTGAAACATTTAAACCAAAGTTTTGCATATTTATTTGGGAAACCACATTTTTAAAAACTAGAGGCCTCCCCAGTGGTGCTTGGGGCCATCAGTTCTACGTCTACACGAGGTGCCTGAGTGAAGGGGCAGTCACCCTCTGACCTAGTTTCCCACTTTTTTTTTTTTAAGGAGAGAACGTAGGTAGAATGATGTCCTAGAACAGCCTACGTACCGCATCTGAGGAGTGCAGCCTGTGAAAAAAACAATGATCTGTTTGCTACATGGAAATACTTTTGGAACCGAGTGCCCTTACTCAGAAGCTGTCACTGTCCTCCTGTTGTTCATCGATTTGCTCGAGCGGGCCCAGTAACGTCTCCACTGGAGACTTTGTTGTTACTGTGTTTGGCATATCGAATACGTCACGGGTAGCTTGCCAGGCTCTGCCGTGCGGGCGAGATACTCTCTGTAGCTTGCCGGGCTCTCTGAGAGGGGCGGAGGAATCGAACTCGGGTCAGCCATGTTGGCTGTGCGCAAGGCAAACGCCCTACCGTTGTGCTATCGCTCCAGCTCGCTCAGAAGCTACAATGCCATGAAGGCTAATGAGAACAGCGCCTCCACCCATTATCCTATTTTCAGGAGTATCCGTTATTTTGGTGCACAGTTCATAAACAGAGTGTGCTATGGGAAGTGCAAATTGGCAGTAAGTGCTACTGGAAATTCTACTGTACTCCTCAATTCTACTTGAAATAGGTTAAATATCAGACAGAACTTCCAAACCCCAATCCGTAGCTACTTTTTCCCCAGCTAATTTACCGTGACCTTCTAGCAAACAAAACTAAGTATTGTGGACACTCATAGTTTGGAACAGAACTTGTTAACGTAAACATCATGGTAATTACAGAGTTCAAGTTCCATTAAGTTGCAACTAAGTCACGGTCACAGTCACATCCCTCCCGTTGTTCATCGATTTGCTCGAGCGGGCCCAGTAACGTCTCCATCATGAGACTTGTTACTGTGTTTGGCATATCGAATACGTCACAGGTAGCTTGCCAGGCTCTGCCGGCGGGCGAGATACTCTCTGTAAGCTTGCCGGGCTCTAAGTAAATTTGTATATTAAAATGTAAGTTGTTTTTTCGTTAACAACAGTAAAAACATTCCTAGACACTAAAAACCAAAAAAAAATGGTAATGGCTTTCCTTCCCTGTCTTTATAATTTAAGACTTCAACTTTGGAAGTTAAAATTTAAATATATGTTTATCCCACATTCTCCTCCTCTATTGTTGCCACTAACTGTGCTAAATAAAAGCCAGTATGCTTTGTGGAATCCATTATCTCACTCTACCCACTTTTAAAAATATGTGTGTGTGTGTGTGTGTGTAAACTGTTACGCCAAACTGTTACTGCATTTTGGAAGGATTTTACCAAGTTTAAATTATTCTGGTGATGTGTCGGTCATACTTCGTCAGAGGATTCTAAACGAAGGAATCAAGTTGTTTGAAACATGTTAATGCCATCATGCACCACCGGTGGCTCACACCTGGATGTGGTTTTACCAACTGCAGTATTGGCGTCAAAGTGTTAAAGAAATTAAGTAAAACATAATAATTTTCATTATTAAGACAGTATTAGAAAGCACCAAACTTCAAGTCTGATTCTTCAAGCTGCTGAGAATGGTTCTTACTTCATGATCAGATGATTCAACTTTTATTCGTCTTGTATAGCCCCCCCGGCCCCTCCATCAGCTTACACAGTAAGTAAATACTTATTAGATGAATTAGGTTCTCAAAAGAACCGTGAAACAGTATATCCATGTCCAGTATAGATGGGAAAGAGGCGCATAGGGTTTAAGGATCTTATTGGAAGAAACGAGATAATCGCAAAATTGGAATGAAAAAGCCTGACCTCAACTCAAATTTCCATCTCATCAGTTTAAAAACTGAACGTGGCTGACTTCAAGAACAGTAAATAAACATCTCCTCATTTTTTTCCTGAAAATGCCCCAACATTCACTTCAAGGTCAGGGAAAAATCAACCTTTTTTTTCCTCCTGTAAGAAATCTAATGGCATGTTCTATTGGCAGGCAGCATGTTAGTTCATGCTAGTGTGAAAGGAGACTCAATTTTCTTAACAAGTGACAGATTCTGAGCATTAGGGATATTTTCAGAACCCATTAATTGTATATTTAGATGAGAATATTGTCCATTTATATCTCCTGGAAAATAATTTCAAAATCAGTACTGCTTCCACTATCATTGATAAGTTAACACTAGTAAGCGTGGATTAAAAGGAGGAAGACTAGAAGGACTTTCTATCTTTACAAAATTTAGGAAAAATTGTTGAATCTGAGTAATTCCTTTAAAATGCTACTTAGAGAGTATTTCTCTGAGAATTCTAATTACAAAATAAAAGCAAAAGGAAGAGGATGGTAATTTACTGCTAATACTGCTGAAATTTTGCTAAGCATGTAAAAATAGATTTAATTACAAATTGTATCAGTGGATCCTAAAATAAATCTAGTGAAACTTTAATATTCAAAGGTTAATTTGAAAGTAAATATACATAGCCAGATTTTAAATACTTATTCGATAATTCCCTTTAAGAAAACAGGACCAAAAAACTTTTCAGGAATAGTGTGTTCACTTTGTTGACAGTATTTCTTTCCTCCTCTTTAGCTATTAGTTCCTTTAAGAGAACAAATGAAGTTTATTAAGTACCTTGGGTACTAACAGTCAAATCTTGTGAAAAAGTGAAGTCAGATTTTTGCGACTATGTGGATTTTACTACTGTGTTAATTTTTATTTCATAGAAAGGGAGAAACAAGAGCTTTTTCCAGAACAGTAAAAGATAAAACACTTCTATTACTTGACCATTGATATTTTAAAAAAAAAAGTAGAGGCTGATGAATACTGCTATATAAATTAGTCAAACACTTTTATTACAGAGTATATATTTATATCAAAAGCACAGAAAGTTTTATTCTGAAAATCAGGAAGATAGTGATGTTACAGAGATATTGTTCAGTAATTCCAGTCCATTTTTATGGGTACTAAGTGTCTTGTTTCCTGTTTAAAAAAAGTGCAAATGAGGCCAAGATCAGAGGCCTAATCACCATAGGGGCTGATGCCTTAGCATTATTTGGTTTCTCAAGTTGAAACAAGTTTTCTAAATGTTCTGCACATCTCAATGGGACTGAACCAGACTATACCCAATATAAACCAAAGTCCATGATCCTGTAAGTCATATTAATCCTCAAATAATGACAATATGGTAAGTACTTTCATCTTATTCCAAATAAAAATGATTCACCAAATACCTCAGCAGATTTGAAGTGGTTTATATAGGAGTAATGTTTAGAAACATTCTGTGTTAACAGTTAAAAATGAAAAATTAGTAAAAGGCAGCATGACCAATAAGGGCGCCAAACTCTTGAAACAAGCCGGTAGCTTGGTACACGGAGCTCAAACAAGACACCTCTTTTTAAAAAGTCCTTGGGTTGCATCAGAATGAAACGACTGAAAATCAGATTCCTCATGTTTGATCTAATAAGCCATTAATAGTCTTTAAACGTTTTCCCTGAGAGATTCCCAGACTATGTTATGCAAAAAAACAGTATGCTTGAAGTTGGTTGGGAAAGTTAAAACAAACAAAAAAATCGTATCACTTTTAAGTCACCACTAATCCTCAATATTAAAAGATCAACAGAATAAAATCAACGACTACGGAATACTGTTTTAGCAAGTTTTTGTTCACCCTGGTTTCTGGGCCATACCCAACCGTGCCCAGGGCTTACTCCTGGCTCTGTGTTCAGAGATCACTCCTGGCACTACTCAGGGGACCATGTGGGGTGCTGGAGTCTGAACCCGGGGTTGGCCATGTGAATGGCAAGCACCTTGCCCACTGAACAATGCGTCCAGACCCAGTTCTGAGGATACTGAGAAGGTAAATTAGTGTCTACATAATTTGATATCATAGTCATGAAGTTAACTGATGGTGTCGAAAAATACAAATTATTTTCAGGGGACTTTCAATTTGTCCACCCACCTTAATTTAGTAAAATAGATAATCAACTATTGATTTATTGCTTTTAATAGGATGAAATACCAGATTTGACAGCTAAATTAGCAATAGGATACAAGTACATTTTTCTCTTTAGTCATTTTTGTAGAGTAGGACATGTACACATCCATGTAAAAAGAGACTGTAGCAGATGCCTCCTAGAATCGACCAGTTCTTGTAAACAATCACATTTGTGCAGATTTTCATACTTTGATTCCAAAATTGAGAACAGTAAGATTAAAGGCAAATTTAGTAGCCAAAAAAAAAAAAATGTCCAGTTTCATGTCCCACAACAAATGGTACCACTCCTTTCTTCAGAAAAAAAAAAAAAACAAACAAAACCAAAAAACAAAAAAACAAAAACAACCTAGCAGCACATAAAAAAAATTTACAAAATGTTTTCAGTACTCTTTTTCCCCCTCTCTCATCAAAAACCAAACAAAAATAAAGTGCAGCACCCATAAAAGTGTCAAGAAAATAGCCAAGTTCTTCCTTTCTTGTAACAAAATAGCACTTGGCCTCAGCAGTCTTAACCAATTTATACAGTGTCCATCATTTTGGGTTCATCATCTTCTTTATGTACCACTGAATTTAAACTGCAGTTGACGATAGAATACTGAAGATAATCTGAATTCTGGGGGTGAAAAGAACGGGGAAAAAACAATGTACAATTAATTCTATGCCAGTAAGATATATACATTCAACTTGACATTCACTGTTTCTCTGCAGTTTAGCCGGGTAGAGGGAAAAAAGCTGTTTTTTAAAATCAGACTTGGGCTGAACCCCAAAACGGTAAGGAGGTAAAAAAGACTTATAAGCACCCATTTCAGAGAGACATCTTAGAGACAGAAAGATAACGTGCAAAATACCAAAAAGGTATTAATGTATCATTCAACAAAACTGTTCATTTTAATCGTTATACAAAATGACATCTTCCATGTTACCATGTACATAGCAATTACTCAAACTATGGCTTTAAGGGCCAGAGAGAGTACAGCGGCAGGGGATAGGGTGCTTGCCTTGTTCGTGGCTGACTGAGGGTTAATCCCCGGTCCCCCGAGCCCCACCAGGAGTGATTCCTGAGCACAGAGCAGGGAGTAAACCCCAAGCACCCTGGGTGTGGCCCCCAAACAAACAAAAAAGGCTTTACACCATCAATATATTTTCAGGATTTCCATTTAATTACGACAGTAAATACTAAAAATACAAAATATTTGATAAGGAAAAAATTCCATTTACTAAATGAAAGTCATTGCTATATTTAAGGTTAACTTTGCTTTCCCCAAATTAGGAGGCTAAAAACTAACAAGAAGGAGGAATATGTTAATTATTTGAGAGGTTCTTAAAATCCAAATTTCCAAACACCAGACTCTGGCTGAAAACTTTCGGGTGCCCTCTGGAGCAAGGTGGGCCAAGTCCCCACCCTGCGGAAGCCCTGGGAACCACACCCCCCACCCCACAACTGCCACCATGCCACTGGCCCAACTTGACTCTCCCCAACTAATCTCTGCAGAGACACCAAACCCATGAAAATTGCAGGTACACTGGTTTTCAGGGGTGTAGCCTCCAGGGCGGCATGCCCAGAAAACCGACCCAGGGAACTGCAAGACCCCCACCTCCCCTCGGCCAAGGTGCCTCCTGCGAGCACCCAGACCAGAGGCTAACCCCGTCAAGTTTTAGGACTGCATCAGAAGTGGGACTTAATCCAGCTCAGGCACTAATTCAGCCAAGCCCCTAACAGGTACGGGGGAAGGGGCTTCGGACTCGTATCTCAATCTCCATTACCTAATTCTGAGGAGGACAGCCTTGCTGTCACGAGCACATCACGCCTATAGTTCACTAGCCTATTCCAATCTCAGCAAAATAAACGTGAGCACAAGAAACTCAACAAGCCCAATACAAAAGAAAACATCCCCTGGAGCTGCACTAGACGGCTCACGTACGTCACAGAGGAGCACCAGAGAGGAAGCTCGTCTTCTAGAAGGGGAAAGAGGTGAGCACCATCAACCGAGCTCATCCATAACCCTTTCTCGAAGCAAGAGGGACACTGATAGTGAACGGGTGGGTCCCACCTCCACACGACCACAGCAACAGGAAGAAGCAGCGCAAATCGCCACCATGGGGAGTGGATGAAGGAAAGAGGCCAGAACCCTCCACAGGGAACGCTGACGAATACAATCTCTCCGATAAAGAATTCGAGATGAATTCTTTAGATGAAATGAACCGAAATGGGCGAAACGATGAGGATGTTTAATGAACTCAAAGAAACGGTGGAGCTGGGCATCCGGTAAATCAAAGGAAGACATGAAACAAACAGTGGAACAGACAGCGGAGAAAATACAGAAGGAAACGAGAGCAGAAATAAGAAAGCTACAAACAGAAGTGTCACTAAGTAGATGAAATGAAAAACTCAGTGGGCGCCCTCAACAGTAGAATGACTGGTTTTCAGACGGAGAATTCAGTCTTCTTGGAGTGGGGGTGGACAACCTCCTCCCACCCCAGAACTTTCTGAAGCCCTGCCACACCCCACACCTACCCTCACTTACACTCATCAGCCCAATTCTACAGATACTACAGCTCCAGGAGCACTGACACCTCCAAATTTCACAACCCTGGCAGCCCAGTAGAATCACACCAAATGAGAAGCAAAAGTAACACAGCAGCCACGTAAGCTCAATAAACAGAAACAGTGACATAGACGGCTCAACTAACAACAGCCTAGTAAATCCCCAGACAAGGGCTTAACGATTCCATAGTGAGAGGTAACAATTTTCACAAGCTTTCTTTTACTGAACTACTTTTTAATAATTCCATTCGTCATTTAGTTGTAACAAGAAATATAAAATAAATAAATCAGTGCCTGCTAAGGGAGGAGATGTGGAGGAGGGCGTGGAAAAATGGGAACAAAACGGAGGGAAGGGAATGTTACTCTGGTGGCGGGACTGTAATTCGAACTCTAAAGCCTTAAATGTATTATGAACAACTCTGTAAACCACAGTGTTTAAAGTTTTTTTAAAAATAAAAAAAAGGTTATTTTTGATTTGGGGTCACACCCAGAGATGCTCAGGGCTTTCTCCTAGCTCTGCACTCAAAAATTACTTGTGGGGGACCATATGGACCAGGTCAGCTACATGCAGCGCAAACACTCCACCTTCTGTACTACTGTTCTAGCCTCATTAAAAACAATTTCTTGACTGCAAAAAATTACAAATTACCAAGAAAAAAAGTTTGTGGGGAAGAGAATGAAGCGCTTTTTGTCCATTTAAAAAAATTAGAACAGGGGGCTAGAGCAATAGCACAGCGGGTATGGCGTTTGCCTTGCACATGGCCGACCCGGGTTCAATTCCCAACATCCCACTTGGTCCCCTGAGCACTACCAGGGGTAATTCCTGAGTGCAGAGCCAGGAGTAACCCCTGTGTATCGCCAGGTGTGACCTAAAAAGAAAATAAAAATAAAAAAAAAACTTAAAACAAAAAATAATTCACCTTTTATTTTTTGTAAGAATAATATTGATGAAAATGAAAACATTATTAATAAAATATTATTAAAGCACCATGACTGAGATGTATAGAAACAATGTTAGTTTTCTGTTATGTATAAGAACTTTCTGAAAGCAGGATTTCAATAATACACACACACACACACACACACACAGATTTTTATTTGTTTTGGGGCCATAACCAGTTAAGTAGGGCTTACTCTACTCAGGGATCATTCCTAGAGGCTCTGGGGATCATTTGGGGAGCTAGGTATCAAACCTTTATCAGCCAGATACAAGGCAACTATGTTACCTACTGAACAATCTGAACAATCTCTCTGGCTCCTCTAATGATACTTTAAATGTATCTTTCCCCTCATGTTTAGAACCAATAGCATTCAAAAATCCCCTTTATCCTTTGCATTCATTATGCAAAATCCTTGTTTTAGGACACTTACAGATTGGACCTGACAGGATTTAGTCCCTCAATTCCTTTGGACAGAGTTCTTTACTGTGATGGGGCAGGGATGTTGTGGCTTAAGGAGTAGAACCTTGCCTGTGTGAGGCTCTGGGTTCAATCTCCAGTATAAACATGCCCAAGCACCACCATGTAGAGCTGAGAGTGGCCCCCACAATAACAAATTTTATGAAATACTTTTTCTAGCGGGGGGGTGGGGGGGATAACGACACAGTGCTGGGGATCAAATCCAGGGCTCTACTTCTGAAGTACAACGTCAGTCCCTCCTTGCCTTGACCCCAACCTCTAGACCCCTCCCACACACCAAACAACTGTGGATTATTTCTTGAAAAATTGAACATAATCACTGAATTTAAACAGCAACAGGAGACAATCTATAGGACAAGCTGAAGAGAAATAATGATTCCATGTCTAATAAATAGTATTATCATTTTAAAATCTTAGACTTTGATCCTTGAGAGTATTTTTGGCGAGGAGAATATGACAAACTGTTTCCCTTCAATTGTATTTCATCCTGCCTCTTTTTTTTTTTTTAAAGAACCAAAAGCAGAGGCTCAAGGACTGATCTGAGGTCTGTGCTCCATATTCTGTATTCAAGGGTCGACCAGCAGTGCTTAGGTCCCGGGGCCTTCAGTATGAAAAGCAGTGCTTTGTCCACTGAGCCATAGCTTGGACTGTAAACTGTCCCCTTTGTCCACAATACATGCAACCAGAATAGCGAAATTATAGAGACATAAAGTCAGGATACTGAAAAGATCAGTTCCTATCAATTTTGAGGTTAAAAAAAATACAATAAGTGTTTTCATCACATTCTTTTCTAAACAGGATTCCCCTTTCCTACAGATAATGTGTAGGAAACTTTTTTTTTTCTTTTTGGGTCACACCTGGCGATGCACAGGGGTAACTCCTGGCTCATGCACTCAGGAATTACTCCTGGCAATGCTTGGGGGACCATATGGGAAGCTGGGAATCGAACCCAGGTCGACCGCCTGCAAGGCAAATGCCCTACCCACTGTGCTATCACTCCAGCCCTGTAGAAAACATTTTAAATGGCAATTAAAGTAGGTCTAAAAATTGTGGGGTCAGGAAATGAGGAATGAGTAGGCTCTAATAAAATACTTCTAAAATCTGAAATGTGTAGCAACTTTGTAGAGATAACAAGAAAATTCCGTACTAGTGACAGAAAACAGCTTAGCATGAACTACACTAACGTGTAATAAAAATGTACCTGGAGTACAAGAGCAACACTTAACAATATTAAATCATCCAACAGATCAGATTGGTTGCCACCTGGATGCATGCTTTGAACCCAGTTGATCTTAACAAATTCCTAACAATATAGTTCTACTCAAAATGTAGTCTAACTCATGTGCCATCTTCAGACATTATAACTAATAATCAGTAGATAATAATGTCCTTAAGGATGTTAGGGTACAAATCATCTCTTCTGTATTTAAGTGGAATTGAATGTCTCTCTAAATACCTAAAAAGATGGATGAGAATCAGTGCCAAGACATGGTACAAAATGAAACTCAAAGTTCCCTTGTGAGTTAGGGGGAATGCCCTGCCACAGAGGCAGGGTGGGATGGGTGAAGGTGGGGGTGGGAGGGACCAGTGGTGGTGGAGAATGGGCACTGGTGGAGGGATGGGTATTCGATCATTGTATAACTGAAACCCAAGCACAAAAATTTGTAAATCTACAACTGTACCTCATGGTGTTTGTTTCACTAATATAGGTAAAGGTAAAGGTACAGGCCCTCCCGTTGATCGTCGATTTGCTCGAGCGGGCCCAGTAACGTCTCCATTGGAGACTTTGTTGTTACTGTGTCTGGCATATTGAATACTCTCGGTAGCTTGCCGGGCTCTCCGAGAGGGGCGGAGGAATCGAACTCGGGTCGGCCATGTTGGCCGCTTGTAAGGCGAACGCCCTACCCGTTCACTAATATAAATCTAAATAAAAAAAGTTCCCTTGTGAGGCAAGAATATTTAAAACAGCCACACATATATTACATATAATAGTCAAAATAATAAAAATTGTTACTATGTTAATAAAATATTTACTTTTAGAACTTACCTGTGGTAAAGATTCTAATAAACCTATAGATCCAACACCAGAATGGGGAACATGATTTTGAACTATCATAGGTTGAAAATTTGGTGATTGAGAATAAAGTCTGACTCTTGACTTGAAGGCTTCAAGTTCATTTTTGAATGCTTCAAAATAACCTTCTTCCTCTGCCTAAAAACAAAAAATAAAGACGTTTTTCAAGATTTCTATACCACACAGTAAATTCTTGCAAGCATATACAATCAGGCAAAGAGTTGAAATGCAAATCTTACTAGTTCCCTGTCAGACTTTCTTGCTCCTTTTCCCTCTGCTTAATCAAAAAAAAAAAAAATAAGAAAACTCTTCTCTTCACAGAGAGAGAGAGAGAGAGAGAGAGAGAGAAAGAGAGAGAGAGAGAGAGAGCACACATATAAAAAGCAAAGTATTCCCTGGATTTCTGGCATGATGCAAAATAACCCTCATTTAATCACTAATTCATTCTGCCATCAGCCTCCTATCAAGAAATACTCCTAAAATCTTTCAAATCTCAGCCTCAGAATGTCCCGACCCCACGCCAGACTGTCTTCAATGGGGCAACTCAGAGCGGGTGGGTTTAGTTTCCCTACCCGCCCCAAGCAGAACCCTCGCAGATAAGTACCAGGAGGTTCACTCCACGGCTTGGAGGCCAGCCGCACATGCTGAGTGCTGAGGGAGAAGGCAGCTCAGATAGAGAAGGGAGCACCAACTAAAGGGTGTTGGGAGGATCTTCCCAGGATGGGAGAAGCAAGCTGAAAGTAGACTATAGACCAAACATGATTGCCACTCAATGCCTCTTTTGCAAACCACAGCACCCAAAGGAGAGAGAGATCAAAAGGGAATGCCCTGCACAGAGGTGGGGTGGGGTTGGGGGGGATAGAGTGGTAGGGCTACTGGATTCAGTGGTGGTAGAGGATGGGCACTGGTGGAGGGATGGGTACTTGATCATTGTATAACTGAAACCCAAGCACAAAAATCTGTAAGTCTACAACTGTACCTCATGGTGTTTCACTAATAAAAAAAAAAATTAGAAAAACCTCTAATGAACTGCTGTAGCTCAAGGCCACTCTCTATACACTTTGACAAGCCTCACCCAAGAGGGGATGTACCTCACCTTAAGAGTGGACCAGCAGAGGTGGGAATGCCAACTGGTTCAACCCTTTGGAAAACAGTATGGACGATTCTCAAAAAATTAGAAATTGAGCTCCCATTTGACCCAGCAATACCACTCCTGGGAATATACTCCGGAGAGGCAAAAAAGTATAGTCGAAGTGACATCTGCACTTGTTTGTTCATTGGAGCACTGTTTACAAGAGCTAGAATCTGGAAAAAACCTGAGTGCCCAAGAACAGATAACTGGTTAAAGAAACTTTGGTACATCTACACAATGGAGTACTATGTAGCAGTTAGAAAAAATGAAGTCATGAAATTTACATACAAGTGGTACTACATGGAAAATATCATGCTAAGCGAAATGAGTCAGAAAGAGAGGGACAGACATAGAAAGATTGCATTCATCTGGGGAACATAAAGTAAGAAAATAAGAGACTAACACCCAAGAACAGCTGTGATAAATACCAGGTTGTTCACTCCAAGGCTTAGAGGCCAGCCGCACACTCTAGGGGTAAAGGCAGCTCAGATAGAGAAGGGAGCACCAAATAAAGGGTGCTGGGAAGATCCGCCCAGGATGGGAAATGCATGCTGAAAGTAGACTACAGACTGAACACGACTGCCACTCAATGCCTCTTTTGCAGACCACAGCACCCAAAAGGAGAGCTAAAACAAAAGGGAGTGCCCTGCCACAGAGGCAGGGTGGGAAGGGGGGTGGGGAGGTGGGAGGGATACTGGGATTGGTGGGGGTGGAGAATGGGCACTGGTGGTGGGATGGGTACTCGATCATTGTATAACTGAAACCCAAGCACGACAACTTGTAAGTCTACAACTGTACCTCATGGTGTTTCACTAATAAAACAAACAAACAAACAAAAGAGTGGACCAGCAAAAACATCCAGTATGTGGGAACCTATGACTGAGATCTCCAAGCCTGCTCGGATCGGGACTGGGCCTCCTCCCCCCAGTTCCCCAGTTTTCCAGTAGCCTGACAGTCACACCCACGAACTGCCCCCAGCGCCATGTAACCTCATCAACAGCCAACACCCAGCCTCAGAGACTATAAACTAAAGCTCCCGGAAGAGAATGAAGCAGTTTCCTGCAGCATGCGGCCACATTTGTGGCTGCGCGACCTGTTACACTCTATCTCACTTATCAAAAGTAACACACATTTGTTTGGCTTTAACACACTTGCTGGTATTTTCTTATCTACAGGCTTAAATGGCTCCAGTATGAAATACAACAACCTTCACACACTACCCTATGGTGGTGGGAAGGTGCTCGGTGGTGGGATTGGTGTTTGGATATTATCTGTAATGAACTACTCTGAACTACTCTGAGTAAAGTAATTCACCTTTACTCTGAACTATTTTTATGAAAATAAAATACATATGAAATTTTTTCGAAAAAATCTCCTTAGGTTAATGAAGTGGTACGAGTACCTATTTTACTTTCCAACCCCATACTCCCTTGTAAAAGTCATGAAAATCACAGAAAACAACATAAACATGTTGACACCGCCAATCAGTGACTCATACCTACATGTGGTTTGATTAACACAAGTCATAGCACCAGTGTCAGAGTGCTGACCATCATTTTGGAAAACATTAAGGATTTTAGTTAAGTATTGTATCATCTTTATGTTTAATGGAAAGAAGAAAGTTATGTTAAGGGGAGCTCCTTCCAATGATGTAAAATACAGGCAAAATTCTTGATAAGATCTACTGGGATTAGCTTCCGTTTATTAATGTTTAAGAATGGCACAATTAGAGGCCAAAGAAACAGTGCAGTGGATTGGGCGCTTGATTGCATGCATCTGACCAGCGTTCAATCTCTTGCACCCCATATGATCCTCCAAGCCCCACCAGGAGTGATCTCTGAGTGCAGAGCCAGAAGTAAGACCTGAGCAAAGATGGGTGTGGACCAAAACCAAAAAGAATGGCAGAGTACTCATCATCCAGTATTAACAGAACAGTCTCCCTGCACTCCCTCCCTCCCTCCCTCCCTTTTCCTTTACTCTCATCACTGTATCACTGTCCTATGCTCGAGCGGGCGCCAGTAACGTCTCTATTCGTCCCAGCCAGTCCTGAGATTTTATTTTTCATTAAATACTATAGGAGTGCTGCTATTTGTTCAGCCATTGATTAAGCTGTTTGAGTTGGGCATGAACTCCACATGATTTTTTTACTGTATCATCGTGAGATAGAGTTACAAAGCTTTCATGTTTGAGATTCAGCATACAATACCCATCCCTCCACCAGTGCACATTTTCCAACATCAATGTCCCAAGTATCACGCCCCCCCCCCCCCACACACACACAAACACATTGTAGTCCTCACCCTGCCTCTAGGCAGACAATTTCCCCAATACACTCTCTCTCTCTCTCTCTCTCTCTCTCTCATCTTAATCATTAATTTTACTCAAATTTTCCCACCACCATTCAAGTCTACCTGCCAGGGCAGACTCTAGATAATATATTTTCCATGACTCATTTCAAATATCATGAGAGCTCACGTGGCGATGATTATACATGTAAATTTCTAGATTGTAAATGGTTGGATTCCAGAGACAGCTCTGTATGGCACTAATCATTTTGGGATTCAATTGGGAGTCTCTGGGCCAGGGCTATTGGTTTGCTAAGATGGCGTCCGAAGGCAAATTGTGGGCATGACAGCCAGTCTTCTGGGTGGGCGGTGACCCAGGGAGGGCCAGCCCAGGTCCACCGCCACCATGTGGCCTGGAGACTTAGTCCTGGAACCTGCATACCTGGGCCTTGCTTGTGAAAGCTCTTGGTCACTGGGATTCCAACTGAAGTAGGTGGGGACTGCACCTGCTCCACCTGGGGTGCCCCGGTGATATTCAGCCCTGAGATTTTGGCAGCCTCTCCTTACTGGTCCTTCCCAACGCTGCCATACTGGAGGCTCTTTCAGGGTCAGGGGAATGAGGCCCATTATCGTTGCTGTTTTTGGCATATCGAATACGCCACAGGGAGCTTGCCAGGCTCTGCCGTGACTTTACTCTCACAGGCCCACTTAACTAAAACGTGCTTTTTCTTAAGTTTAGTTTTACATTGAAGAGCCAGGTTAAAATCTATGGGTTAGTTATTGGCATTAATATCAATACAATATAATTTGTTATGCTACTAATTTTTCTTTTTATAAATGTAGGAATTATTTATATTACTTGGTTCTTCTTGTATTTGACATTTATAAAGCACTTTATGATTGGGCCAGACAGACAGCAGAAAGAGCAGGTGGGGCCCAGCTGGGGAGATGATGGAGAAAGCAGGTGAGGGGTGCAGAGATAGCACAGAGAGCAGGTGAGGTGCACGTGCCTTCTCTAATGGTCCCTGGAGCACCATCAGGAGCAAGTCCTGAGCACAGCTGGGTGTGGCCGCAAACAACAACAACAAAAACATAAAACAAAAAAAAAACCTTAATGACATATGTTTTAACTAATACTGGTTATTTTATTGTGACTTTTTCCCCGTCCATACTGACACTATTTTACAAAATGGATATATAAAAATTCATTTTGTTAATGGGTATTTGGGTTGTTCCTAGTTTTTTTGCAACTATGAACTACTCCAGTATGAGCATTATGGTTTCTAGAACATTAGGGCTCTGAACTCCTTCACACACCTAAAAATTATTGAGGAACCTAAAAAAAAAGTGACTGTTTATGTACAGTGCATCTGTCAATATTTAAAATCTTTTTTAAATAAGTGGTTTTTAAAATTCCTGTTTTAATTTCTAACAGTAATTCTAACAGATACGTCATACATAAACATAACTTATGAATCATTTTTAATAATGTAATTCATGGTGATTCAATAAAAAGGTTTAAAATAAAAGATAAGAATAATAAACCCATGGTGATGCTTGTGACATTTATTTAAAAAAATCTTTTTCAACAAAAACTTTATTGAGATGTCCTGCTTACTAGAAGGTGGATTTACACATCAGCTTTTCCTTAATTGATCTTTGCTGTACTCTCAAGAAAATGACAGTGAAAACAGCACATAATATAATGGTTATTATGAAAATAATTTCTACTCAGAATTCCTGAAAGGGTCTGCAAGATTCTCCAGTGTCCTGAACTTTATGCTGAGAAATTTATTCTTTTTTTTTTTTCCCCTTTATTTTATTTTATTTTTTTTAAAGTTGTAGATTTACAGAGAAATTTATTCTTTAGGGGGCATACCTAGAAGAATTTCTGGGAATGAGTACTTGTTCAACTTTACTCGGAAATTTTCCACAGTAATCCATCAATACTCCCACGGTGAATAAGATTTCTGATTTTTCACAACTTTAAATTTGGGAGGGGGTGGGGGGGAAGTAGCAAGGGCCTCCCAAGCAGTCTTAAGGGGCTAGCAAGCGGGTTATTCCCAGTGATAGTCGGGGTAGCAATGTAGGCCTAATGGGTCAATACGAGGCACTACTGACATGGTGCTGCTGGGGTCCACCAGTGTAGTGTGTCCCTGGTAGTGCAAGACAGTCTAACGCGGGGATGAGGGGATAGACAGTGTCAGGGATCAAACTCAGGGACTAGTGCACGCTAGGCATGTGGTTCCCGCACTTTAAGCTACCTTCCCAGTCCAAAAAACATCTAACACATCACATGCTCCTGTACATATAAATACCTATTACTTTTTTCACTTTATAGCACTTTGGCAGATAAACAAATAAATGTCTTTTAATCGCCACATTCTACATACATGTCACAAAAGGTTTTTTTTAACTAGTCCTCTGTAGAGTATCATGTTGTCTCCTATCTTTTCCTTACAAAAATTTGATTTCTCATTACACTGAGTTAACATATGAGGATAGAGTATGTAATCTTTTCAACACTGTCTCCTTAGCATCTTACAGAGTTGTCCTTTGTGCTGGTTCCCAATGTCTTCTTTTTGATGAAACAGAACAGTAAATATACACATTCTTCTAAATGGGCCTTAATTTTACATACATTCTATGGCACAGTGTAATATAATAGATCTGTTAGGTTTAAATTAGCATGAAACCAGAAGTAAAAACTTCGCACTATAAAATCTAAAGAATTTAACCTGTGCTATCCTGGTTGAAGGCTTTGCTTTTATGTATCAACCAAAGAGGTCTCTGCTGAGGGCTAATTTTCCCACTAAATGATACCAAACGATTACTTACTTTGGCTTTCTGGAAAAATAAACGAAAACACCCTCTTGGATCCACATTACAGTTTTTGGCCATTTCCATAATAAACTGCATTACAACAGCTTGATGTGCTATTTGTTCCATCAGAGCTCCTTTCTGAAAATAGATCAAAACTGTCAGAAATACCTCTGCAATCTCTTTATGACTGTCTCAAGAGTGTGTGTGTGTGTGTGTGTGTGTGTGTGTGTGTGTGTGTGTGCGCGCGCGTACGCTGGGAGGATTGAATTCAGGGTCTCAGGTATGCAATGCATATACTCTACAAAAGACTTCTATGATTAACACTGAATTACTATTTGGGTTTTAATCTAATAGGCAAAAAGAAGAAAAAGCTTGCAATATATGGGGTAAGGAAATGGGAGCAGGCAAAGCAGATTATGAAAATGTTTTCATAACTCACTGAAATAAGTTAAAAAAAATAATTCCCACAGTAAACTTAAGTAGGTATGATGAAAAAAAAAACAAACGATAATTCCATTTAATGCCTCGATTTAATTTAAGAAAGGGAAAAAGCAAACAAAAATCACACCAAATTTCCCCCAAATTCTAGGCTCACACAGTACCTGTTCAGCTTCTAGATGAAAACACCATAAAATAAGATATTTAGCAGTTTCTTCACATACAAGATAAGGATGGTCAGATAAAAATCTTTGACTATCATCCCATCGACTCAACATACCTGTAAAAAGAGAAACCATGAACGTCAAATGCTTTCCTTTTGTAAGTGAAAGACTGAATTTTAAATGATTCTCTTTAAAGACAGTTTTAACACAGTAATGTGTTAAGATAAAAAGTAAACGAAAAGGGTTTCTTTTTTAAAAGCAATGCCCATTTGTACAAGACATAGCTTCCATAAATCACTGACTGTCTTGTTTTTAATGATGGGTGAGGTTAAAGCAGAGTGACTCGCTTAAAGATCGAAACAAACACTGGCTGGGGAAGCAGCTCAGTGGTTGAACACTTGTCTTGCACATGTGAGGCTCTGGGTTTGGGTTTGAAATCCTGCTCTCCTCTGCAACGCCCCATCCCCACCCCCAGCACGCACCCAAGTTCCTTTGGGCCTTTGGGGCTGAGAAGATAGCTCAGTGCCAAGGGTATATATCTTTCGCGTCCTCAGCACCAAGTATCTCCAGGTATGGTCCTGGACGCCCTAAACACGGCCAGATGTGAGCATGCTGGCCCAGCACCTCTTAAGCCAAGCACCGTCACACTGCTGGGCCAAGCACCAAACCAAGTATTGCTGGGAAAGGCCCCAGAGCCTCAGCACTGCTTGGAGGTTCCCTGAGCCAGATCCCTCACCCCTGCTGCTAATCACCCAAGTGTCAGGGAGACAGCTCGAGTGGTAAAGCACAAGCCTAGGAAACCACCACTGGGTCCTGCCCCCATGTGCCCCAAGGTCCCAGCACCAAACTAGCAACCCTGCATATCAGGGCTGAACATCAGTGGGAGTGGCTATGGGCTTCTCAGAATCCCTGCATGTGGCCTCTACTACAAAAAATTATTTTAGGGGCTGGCGCACAGAAGGTAGGGAACTTGCTTTGCATGCAGCCAACCTGGGTTCCATTCTCAGCACTCCTTATGGTCCCCCCAAACCCGCCTGGAGTGATCCCTGAGGGCAAAGCCGGAAGATCGGAGCACCACCAGATACAGCCAAACATACAAATAAACAAATGAAAAAAAAAAAACTCAATTATTTTATTTGATCTGGGATTGCCTAAAGTTTGGGGCAAACTAAGAGTGCTGGTCTTCCTGAGCTAAAGTGACAATAGATTACTTCCAAAAGAAATTATTCACAGAATGCAGTATTTCTTAATCGTTGCAAATACATTATTTACAGAGACCTAGAAATTGAAACCTCAAGAAACGATACTAAGCTAACAACAGAAGATTCAGAAAAAAACACACTGTTTCTAAATTATTGTCTAAGATAGTGGTGGAGATTCTCGGGCAACTTGGTTGTGGTAAGGTGGGTGACAATGTATAGCAAAACAAGAAACAATATTATAATAACCGTGTTAACTTAAATTCTAACAAAATAAGAAAGAAGAATAAATGAACGTGTTCTAAACAAATGAACAAGTCGAAGAGGAAATGGTAAACTTTTGTCAGCAAAGGAAACCAATCCAAGAGTGTAATATATTTTAACAATAATATACTTTCAACGCATCAGTCAAGTTACCCATTTACTCATGTTTATATGCACAGAAAACAAATGGCCGCCATTTGTTTCAAAAGATCGAACTAATGCAGAGTACTGATTGTGGGCTTTCGTCTTTATTCCAATTTATAAAAAATGTGAACAGAAAGTCTGCATCAACTGAGAAATAATGAAATCAGTGAAGTATTTAAAAAAAAATCTACCATAAAAAAAATCAGCCAGTCAGCTTCCCATCTGAATAGAACAATATTAGCTGTAGACATTTTAGACTCATCCAAGAAGCCTGGACATTTTGAACCATCATGGAAATCTTACAAGTCTCAATAGTTGGCAGGACATCTTCCGTCTAGGTACAAAATAAACTTTGAGGTTTCACATGAGAACACAAAGAAAACAGAGGACAAATGTATTACCAAGAAAATGTATTTAGCAACACATAGGAACCTACTTAAAATAATTTTCCCCCATGTTGAAAAAGGGCATTGTAACAATTTTCCCAAAGAATTACAAGTTTGATAGTTACTTTCACAACATTCTGGATGTAGTGACTGAGTTATTTAGCTGATTAAATTATGAGAAGCTAAGTGTGATTACTTAAAACTACTCATATTAAAGAGTTAACAAAGTTCTGGGGACAAATCTAAAGAAAACATAATTTTTATTTCTTTTACCCAAAGCCAAAACCTAAGTTCTATGAAGCACTTTTGTCTTAGCTTTGTTATACCTCAGAAGTAAACATGCTTTCAAACATGCCTAGGGAATACTACTAATGCTCATTTCTCCATGGTAGCATCAAGACACCAAAGCACTAAAATCCTATCCATTTTTGGTTATTTTTGCAACAAAGATATTATGAAAGAGCAGGTGATACTTGTCGGTGCCATGAAGCAGGTATGATTAAACGTTATCGTTTTAAAACTTAACTCTGGAGACAAGATTAACAGGAGGTTGATCGGTTTTTTCTTATCTGAGAACTATCATTTGAGTCTAAAAATGTCTATTGAGGGAGGAGAGAGAGCACAGCAGGTAGGGCACTTTCCTTGTATGCAGTCCACCCTGGTTCCATCCATCCCCCGTATTTCACATGGTCCCCTGAGCCCCTTCAGGTGTGATTCTTGACTGCAGAGCCAGGAGTAACCCACAGGCACTGCTGAGTGTGGCCCCCAAACAAACAAAAAAACATAGACCACATCTACTGGGTGTGGCCTCAAACCAATACATAAAAATCCATACCAGTATCAGAGATCTACTATAGCACAAGGGGTAAGGTACTTGCTGTTCAGGCAGCAGTTCAATTCCCGGCACCGCATCTGGTCCCCCAAACACTGCCAGAGTGTCCTCTTAGCAGAATCAGGCCACACTGCTGGTGTGGCCAAAACCAACGACCGCCCCCCAATCCCCACCAAGAAATAAAAAAATAAAAATAAATAAAATTACATGCCAAATTATTATGAAACTGAGGAGATGCTTACAGACATTTGCAGGGTGTGTAATTTTGTTTAAATAAAAATGAGATCAATGGCTTAGTTTAAAAAAAAAACTGAAATTACTAAAGTTATTCTGAACCTTGTTAACAGACCTACACAAAAATGAAGAGTACCATGATGGCTAAGGAAACAAATTCCGGAAATAAATTCTGTGTTCATGTACTGGCCTTACATCGTGCCAAAATTCCTTACATTGACCTTTAAGCCTCCATTCCTGACACATAAAATAGGGCTAAACAAAAGGGGGGGGGGAGGGGTGGGAGAGGGGGAGGAGAGGGGAAGGAGGAGGAAGAGGAGGAGGAGGAGATGGTGGGGGGTGATGGGAAGGAATCTGGGGATACTGGTGCTGGGAAACGTACACTGGTGAAAGGATGGGTGCTGGAATGCTGTATGAATGGAATCTAATCATGAACCGCTTTGTAAGGGTCGATCTTACAGTGAATCAATTAAAAAGTTTTTAAAGTATATAAATAAATAAAATAGGGCTGAAAACAGTAACACAACTAACACCTAGGTTTTTGTGAAAGTGAAATGAGCTAAAGCATATAAAGGAAGCAGAATAGTACCTGAGATAATAAACACCTGATGTCAGGCATTATTCACACAAAAGTGAACAATCGGCATATTCATTTATTATTAAAATAACCCTCTAAAGATGGTCTAGTCCTTTAAAGCAACACTTCTCAACTATAGGCCAGCTGGCCCACGGTGGGCTCGCAAGATATTCCAAGGGGCCACAAGTGAATAATCACATCAATGGGGAACAACATGAGACAGGGGACCAACTGGAAGGAAACAAGGTCAGAAGCAGGCTACGATGAGAAAAGGTTGAACAACATTCATTTAAACTAGTCAACCACTTCCTCTCAATGTTTGAAAGCCTGACTTTTACAAACTAAGGTATCTTAAAAAATAATGTATTTTTACCTATGCATTTTCCTGGTTAAGTATCTACCAATGCACCCATCCTCTTTCAATATTCCATCGGATTCCTAAAATGGTTCCCGTATACACGAGTTTTTATTGGTTTCCCTTTCAATTTTAATCCTTTACATATTAACCATTCAAATGTCTCAATGTGCTAATAAAAACTTCCCAACAAGGCTGTACATTTTTGAACGAAAGATACATCCACTCTCTTTCTACATTTTCTGAGGCCCCTCCCTCCTGCACACCCAATCAGCTACCACCAGAAAAATATTTCAAGCCACTATGCGGAGAAACTTTTATTTAAGTAGAAATTTTATTTATAACCAAATGCAGGGCAGGAGAAAGAGTTCAATGGGCCAAGTAACCGCTTTGCAGGCAGGAGGCCAAGTTCAATCCCCAGCACTGCATAATGTCCCAAGCACTTCTGGAAGTGAGCCCCAACCAGAGAGCCAGGAGACCCAGAGCACTGCTTAGATGCAGTTCCAAAACAAAATAAGGGGCCAGAGGAACAATACTGGGGTTAAGGTACTTGCTTCGCATGCAGCTTACCCCCGTTCAATTCCTGGCACCACATGTCCCCTGAATAGTGCCAGGAGTGAAGTCAGAAGTGCTACAATTGTGCAAAGAGGGCAGGACAGTGCTACGAAGGCAGTATCCTTGAAAGCACCAGGAGGGGGCCGAAGTGATAGTCCAGCAGGTAGGGTGTTTGCCTTGCACGTGGCCGACCCGGGTTCAATCCCCGGCAACCCATATGGTCCCCCAAGCATTGCCAGGAGTAATTCCCGAGCGCAGAACCAGAAGTAACCCCTGAGCATCAGTGGGTGTAACCCAAAAAGAAAAAAAGAAAAAAAAAAAGAGAGAAAGCACCAGGAGTCGTCTCTGAGTACCTCCAGATGTGGCCTTAATTCTCCCAGCCCACCACTCCACCAGCTCTTAAACATGACTTTGAATACAACTTTTGTGAAGCCTAAGAGAGGACAGACTTTGGTTCTAAATTAATTTTATATTTGTAAAACATAAATTACATTAATCAATTACGTACAAGTCAAGGAGAAAAGGAAGACTTTAGAATCCAATGCTTTACAATACTCTATGATGTGACTAAGCTTTTTTTTTTTTAAAGGCAGGACCTATCTAATTATAAGGGTAAAAGCAACATAAAATAGTCAAATACTGTTAGGGAAAGTTTTAACTCTGCAGAATGTTAATTACCTGAGACCACAGAATAAAGGACATGTCCCACTCATAATCCTGGAGAGAGCATCGCCCATCTCTTCCAAGAGTCCGAAATGCAATTCAGACCTAGAAGGCTAGGGAGCTAGGACGTTTAGTTACGATTTCTATTCCAGATGCTACTTCAAAGGACTGCATCAGTGAGGTCATTGCTCTCGTGCTTTTTCCCCTTTTACCACAAACAGAAATGTTTGTTTCCATTCAGCAAGCACAGAACAAAGCTGTCATTACCTTGCCTACCATCTCCATAGCCCAGTCTGTGCCATCTAGTCCCCAGGGACTTTTCCTCAACATCCCACATAAATCTACACTGGTCCCTTTCACGCTGACGGAACATGCTGAGGAGGAGGCAGCAACTGCCCCAGACGTCCTGGGAAGACACATGCACACCAGAAAGTGGGATAAAATCACATGAAAAGTCTGGCAGCCTACTACCTTAGAAACATTTCTGGGCATCCAATAAGCTGCAGCAAGGAGGACATCTCCTCCAAAGTGAAAAGGCAATGTGCACTTCCACTAAGAGACAGGCACAGTGTGAATCTGGGAGTGGCTACCAGGTCTGGCTGGCTTTGAAGACAGTAAGGCTCTGGTTAGCATTACAGGATGAAACACTGCAAGCCCACAACATGCAGGACACATCAGTTGCTTATTATCACTTCTGGACGTCAAGTCAGCTTTTTCTGTGGCTATTCCATGGCTTCTACAGTATGTCAACAAAGGGATCAAGGTGTAAAATTTAAGATTATGCAAATTCCTAAGCAGGAACTCTCCCTATCAAGGATATACCAATAAAGCTGAAATAACCTAATTTGCTGGTAGTACGAACAACTGTTGAAGCCCCAATATACACTGGCACCTTGGACTACAGCAGAGACCACAACTGAACACCTAATTTGTCGGCAGCAGAAACTAGTGTTGAAAACTAAATAATGAATCTGCACCGTATGTTGGAGAAACCAGCTAACAAGTAAAAGGGTGACTATGATTACTCTTGTCCCTTTTCATTTGGGGCTTTTTGTTTTTGGGTCACACTGGCGATACTCGGGGGTTATTCCTGGCTCTGCACTCATGAGTTACTCCTGATGGTGCTTGGAGGACCTTGTGGGATGCTGGGAATCGAACCCAGGCACCTGTATGCAAGGCAAGCCCTCTACCTGCTGTACCATCACTCTAGCCTTAGTCTCATTTTATTTTGGAAGGATCAGTGATTCTTCTCCTTCACATTTTCCCTTTTTTTCTGTGCTTCTCCCAGTAAGAGATCTGTAGCCCTAATAGGCAAGCTATTCCCTACACATTACTTCTGACCCAGAAACTTACTTTGCAGAAAAAGAAACGAGAACAATGAACTCATGAACTCACTGGAGTTTTGACGTCCCTAGCATAGCGTTTTACGGAATGTGAAGACATTTGTTCCCTCTTTCTGAAATTGTATTTTCCACACTCCACAGCCATCTCTCACACACCCTACCACTTTTTCCTTGGATAATCTTTGTCCACTTTTTCTATTTCGCTTTGCCTACCTATTACCTTTATATCCTCATGCTGCACCATAGGCGAAGTGATACAGTGCTTGACTTTTTCCTGCTGACTTCCTTGGCTTCGAACAATTCCCACAAGCTCCTTTCATTTTGTTTTGAATGCTCATCTTGTAACTGAACAGTAATAGACTAAATAAATAAACTACACCTTCTTTATCCAATTCTCTACCAATGAACATTTCCTTTTATAGGAACCGCTGCTTCTATCTTTTTGACTATTGAAATAATGCTACACTAAATACTGCGTTATATATAACTTTTTGTATTAATTTTTTGCATTCTTCGATTGATCTGTAAGTGGAAATGGTGGACAATATGGCAGCTCTGTCTTTAGCTGTGACTGCTTAATTTTTCGTATTTTCTGCCTTCTCCTTCCCTCATACGTTGCTGCTGTGGTGATGCAGGTAGCACACACACCTGATGTGGTGTGTACATACCTAGTTGTGGTACCTGCACACACCTGGTTTTAGCGTGGCAGGAGACCACTTCTGACTAAAAGGATACTCAACAGCAGAGCTGCCAGGCTCTGGCCGGTGAGCACGGTGATAACAGGGATTTGCCTGCAAGACAGGCACTCTGAACTGTGCGACCCCTGACCCCTATCTTTAGTTTCCTGAAGCAGCCCCAGAGCAGTTTCCAAAGCAATCACACTAATTTATAATCCCATGCAACGCTTCACTGCTTCATAGTGTTTCACAGTGCATGTGAGCTATACATCTTAGGTGGTTTGGTAATTTTCCTCACAAATTTGCATCTGACCAAGACACTGAGTTTATAGTAAAAATGACGGCATATTTTACACGCAGGAAGTTTTCCACTGGCAGTGTTTAAGATCACCTTGAGTACTATGTTACCAATGCAGTCATGCGCTAGTCATAAAACCTACCTAGGTCACTCTTTCCTACAGCTGAACTCAAGACTAGAAACTAGTGACTAGTGGAATTGGCAACTTAACCTTATCACATCAAAGACCCGCTTATAAAAACCTTTTATCCCGCTAACTCAGGATCTTGTTGACTTTTTTGTATATTATAAATAATGCATAATATTAGTTATAGTAAGCTTGATACATTAATAAGTCGTATTCCTTTTTTGTTTCAGTTTTTTGGACCACATCCAGTGGTGCTCAGGAACCACCCCTGACCTGAGCTCAATCTCTATGTGATGCTGGGGATTGAACCTGGTCAGGTGTGTGCAAGGCAAGCGCCCTACCTGATATATTATTATTATCTCTCTGGCCCAAATTGAATTTATTCTTGAATTTAATAGAATACAGTCTATTTTCTTATTTTAAAATAAAAAGCATAAAAAGTAACACAGTTTTATGAATAATATGAATAGAGCAGCATCTACTTTTAATAAATACATAAAATGCTTTTGGGCAAAAACACCAGTAGCAAAAAAATTTCATAAGCCACTCAAAAAGCTTATACTATAAATAATGAAATGATACTTGGAAAAAAAAAAAAAGACCTGAAACTTCTGTTTGTTTGGGGGTCACAACTGGCAGTACTCAAGACTTACTCCTGGCTCTGCCTCAGAAATCACTTCCAGTGGGTTTGATGACCGTATGGCGTGCTGGGAATTGAACCCGGGTCAGCTGCATGCAAGGCTAAAAAGTACCCTAACTGCTGTTATCATTTCTCTGGCCACAAAACGCCCTAAATCTTAACTCTTCCTACCAGCATTTTCATTTCAGAGTACCATACTGTTTCCAATTCTCAGAACAGAATGGTGCTGCTGAATTCTGCCTTCTCAGATGCTGTTTCCTAACCTACCCTTATTGAAATAAAAAAATGCCTGTGCTCCTCACAATCTAGCCCAGATACCATTTCCTTTGGGGTGCCCTTTCACTAGGGGGGAATCTTCTTACCCCAATAGAGAAAACTATATTTCAGTTCTTTGTACACATGTATAAATATTTCTATTGCTATGTGTGTATATATACCTACACAGATACCTGTAGATAGCTATAGGTATGTATAGATGTATCAATATATCAGAATGATAAATCAAGATTTGCAATAAATCATTAAACTGAAAAAAAAATACATTGATTGTATTATTACTCCAAGATAATAAGAATCTAAAAAAGCAAAAAGAAAGTAAGACAAAAGCAAAAATCAGTTGGGAAATCAAAAGAGGTTACTAAAAAAAAAAAAAAGTTTTAAATTGTGTTTTAAAGGGAGTGTTATCAATAGATTAATCTCCCCAGAATTTGGTTTACTCTTGTCAATCCATTTTTTTATGACTGAAGTACAAAATAAGAACTATGTAACAGTACCAGAAGTAGCTATACAACTGGAGTTTCCACTTTGCTTATCTTCTTTCTGTGTCCATTTTCTAACTCTAGTTTCTGTACACATTTACACGATACCAAACATTACAAAAGAAAACTCAAGCAATGAACTTACCAAAATGTCTAATTTTTTGTTCATATTTCTGCATAAATGATTTTGATTTATCTTCATCTTCTGTCTCATTTCTTTTATCTTGATTAATAAAACTCTAAGAAAAAAATTTAAAACTAAAATCAGAATTTATATTCAAATTGAATTGTTTTCTCAGTACTGAATGCCTAGCAATCCTTCCTACATAGATACCACAAGAGGTGGTAGAGTATTATGCTTATATTATAATTAAATTCCATCTGCCAAAATTTAATAATTGAAATTTTCTTACAATAAAGTTTAAAGAATTTTTTTTAAATTATACATGAAAAATTACAGATTTCAGAAAATACAGAAAAACGAATCAGCATTTTGGTTAAACTTAATTTCCATATAGAATGATCCTTTACATGCATAATTTACATTTTGCAGTATTCATTTCCATTATATATTTGCAACAATAGCCTAGTTTTCCCCAGTTTTAACTATAAATAAATACAAATCCAAATAATAGGAAAAGGTATACATTTACTGTAAGTTCTATAAGTTCTATAAGACATAATTGTAAAATAGACCCATACTGTAAACTTTTCCTAGAAGAGGCTAAAAACTTTGATTCTGAAATCATACAAATTTCTATTAAGGAAGTGCTTATTTTCAGTTGAATTAAGTCATAAAACAGACAAAGATGAAGTTTCTATCTAGCCAGAAAAACTGGCAGAACAGTTTCTCAGAACATTCTGTGATCACATTTAAACCCTGAGATCATCATTGTGCCAAAAATGAAAATAGCAAACTAGCTCTCTGCCAGTTTACAATAAGGAAGTACACTAAAGTTTATAAATTTCACAATAGAAGCATTATTTTCTTGCATTCTGTTATCTAGACCAGCACTGTCCAATAGAAATATAATCAGTCACAGCTGTAATTTAAAGTTTTCTGTTTAGCCACATTAGAAGTAAAAAGAAACAAAATTAAGTAAATATTTATTTAACCCACATATCCAACATTTTATCATTTAAACACGTAAGCAACACAAAAAATTACTAATAAACTAATTTACTTTTGGGGGTACCAAGTCATTGGAATCTGGTGTGTATTTTACACTTACAGCACATCTCAATTCGGACTAGCCATATTTCAAGCGTTCAAAAACACATTTGGCTAGTGGCTATCGAGTTGGACAGCGCAGATCTAGACCAGTCCTCTCAAGTCTCAAGCTCCCAGACAAAATCAATGTACGATTTTGAGCAAATGACTGGAACATAAAGATAGTCCTAATTAATTTGTGGTATACATGTAGGCTATGTTAGAACCTAAGTTTAAAAAAACAAAAGCAGAAACAAATAAAAATATTTCCTTTGTGACCACTGCATTAAGAGACATTCAATTTTTAAAACAAACATTGCTTTGATCTTTTCCTCTTGAAAAAGAAAAATAGTTTAACTTTGGGGAATAAAAGAACACCAGGAATAACTCTTACAAAGACACATCCTTCAGAATATATATTGAAAGAGCAAATTATTAAATGACAATACTAAAGGGGTGAAAAATCATATAAACTGGTATGACTTAAAAATATCAACAGTGGCTATCTTGGGAAACAGAACTGGGGGTGAAAGAAGTCCTTTAATTACATTTTATGTACATTATTTCATAGTAAGATGCATTCTTATCACCTTGGGAAACTAGAGATTGAGTATGGGGCAAAGCTAGCAATACTGACATTTATCTATGTGTATTATTTATTGCTGTAACAGAGATACCAGTGGTCCGGGGGAGGAGGGTGGGCTGAGAATGGATATCAGGATAGAGACCAGCAGTGTTAAAGAATGATGTCTGGAAAACAAAATACTTATAAAGAGTGAATGTGGACTCAGATGTGAATGAAGCATCTATCCCTGAAGCTTGAGAGTAAAACTGAGTGTGAAGAGAAATAAGTACTTGACATGTTTAAAGCAAATGACTGAATTTCACTGTCCATCTGTACTTCAGATACAAAAGTCAAATGATGAATTTAATACAGAACACTGCTCTCAATAATCTGAGCAAAAATACTTTACTAATCCTTTCGGCAATAATGCTTATGACACTAAATCCAGATTACTATCTGAAGTTTAGTAAATACACACTAGCAAATAACAAGACTTTGTTTTAATAAACTGAGTGGCTACCTCTTGTGTTAAAAAACCGATCACACAACAACACAGAAGTTATTCTTAACATCTTGACCTTTATCACACACAAGGCCCTTTGGTATCTGCTTTGCCTTCAGAACCACTCCAGATTTTGGGACACGGTCATTGTGAGATCTTAGGTGACTTGCCCAAGGTAACTAGGTCAGCATGGGACAAAGCTGAGGTTTGAGGCAGTTTGACTCCAAAGTCCACACTACTCTCCTGTGTTCTATACTGTTGCCACATATTTGTCACTGTCACTGTCCTCCCATTGTTCATCGATTTGCTCGAGTGGGCCTGGTAATGTCCCATTTTGAGACTTGTTGTTACTGTGTTTGGCATATCTAATACATCACGAGTAGCTTGCCAGGCTCTGCCGTGCGGGCGCGATACTCTCGGTAGCTTGCTGGGCCCTCTGAGAGGGGCAGAGGAATCGAACCTGGCTCGGCCGGGCTGGCTGAGCACAAGGCAAACGCCCTACCCGCTCTGCTATCGCCCCAGCCCATATATTTGTAGTAAAGTTAATTACATCAGACAGTATTGAGGATACAGGTTTCTGTAACAAGTTCTTTTCATAAACTGCCAACACTAAATAATTTTATAGGACTGTTATTTGGCCGGGGCTGGAGTGATAGCACAGCGGGGAGGGAGTCTGCCTTGCACGCAGCCAACATGGCCGACCCGAGTTTGATTCCTCCGCCCCTCTCGGAGAGCCCGGCAAGCTACCGAGAGGATCTCGCCCGCACGGCAGAGCCTGGCAAGCTCCCCGTGACGTATTCGATATGCCAAACACAGTAACAACAAAGTGTCCAATGGAGACGTTACCGGGCCCGCTCGAGCAAATCGATCAACGGGAGGACCGTTATTCGGCTATCACATACGCACAGCTGATCAGTGCACACACTTTTTTCCTGCACTACGGTTCAGTAAAAGGTCGTACCTTATTAAAAACATCCTTGCTAATGGCATCCATGTTCCACAGACACATCCTCTCTCCTTGCACCAGAGCTGCTTCTTTCTGCCGCCACTCTTCTTCCCGCTGCCTCAGTTCTGCTACTGCTGTTTGTGCTTTGGCATGTTCCTGATCCAGGGACTCCGAGTTATGCAGTGCTAAGCTACCAAGTTTCTGCTGAGCCTCAGCGAGATTCCATCTGCACGCCACAGAGCTCTTCACAAACTCCTTTTGTTTCTGGCAAGCCAGTTCAATTCCATCACTGTACATCTAGACGGAAAACAGTATTTATAAGAGAGAAAAAAGGTGACTGTCACGTTCGCATAACCTGATTTCTCTTTCAGTTCTGTTACCAATATCTGAAGTCTGGTCTTACCAACTCTATTCTAAATTTCTTGGTTAATCTGTGCCTCTCCCCTGACGACTGACTAACAGCAACAAAACAGCCTGGCAACTAGAAGAGTGTCCTGGATCTCGTTATTGCTACACATTTAATTTACAGTCTTCATAATCCTCAAATTAACAGAATGAGAAAAGCTCAAACTCAGTTCATTACCTTAGGACTCAATATGCTTTGAAAACCAAACCATTAAGTGTTTTGCTGTACAAGTTCTACAATGGAAAGAACCTTTTGTTAGAACAAATAATTTCTTGGTTTCTAGTTTCTTTTGTGTTTTTCCAGTCCTTGGTGATCTGGATTTTCTTGGAAACTTCTAGTTATAATTAACTATATCAGAAAACTTGTAACTCACTGCTAATCAAAATAGGAAAAGTTACTTTTTTAAAAAGTCAACTGGTGACTGGTCTCCTCACAAGTGACAGTGATTTGCTTTAATATTTACGGAACCATTACTTAGAAGGCACCGTAGTGGGGTTAATTATCACTTGTATTTCTCAAGTGTATAAACTTCCGTAAAACACAGACACGCGTGGACCTTGATTTGTTGGGGTGGGGGTGGGGTAGGGACCGGGGAGTGACTGGGGCCCACACCTGCAGAGCTCAGGAAACCAGGTGGTGCTAGGGATCAAACCCAGAGTTCCTCCGCAAGCAAAGCACGTGCTCCAGCCCTTTCAGTTACTTCCCCAGCCTATATTCTTTTTCTTTTACCCAAAAAAGACCCACTTCAAACTATTCAGAATAACTTTATTACTACTAGTCCTCTTATCTGCATCATTATTTACACTCCATTTCACACCTTAATTATATACAGTCTTTCTCATGTCAAACCACTCTCCAGAGGAGAAATAAAAGCATGGTCATTTCACTGATCCTCAGAATCTTGGGATAAAATACAACCGTGGTGTGGCATGACATAGTTCTTCATGATCTCACTTCCAATCATCTTCTTTCACTACTTACTCTTCGGTTTGGCTTATTTTTCCTATCCCTCACCCCAAAGTGGTGACCTCTCCCTTCCCTACCAGATTCTGATATCACTTCTTTAAGATTTTTTTTTCCTGCCTTTCTCATTCAAGGTATGCAAACTTCTATAGTAGTGTGTTTGCACAATACTCTGCGTATCTGCTTTCTCAACTATTAGCCCGTGGAAGGAGACAGAATTTAACAAGTCTTAGATGAAGAACTGACTTTTGCTTCTTGGAAGACTAACGATGACGAAGAATTGGAAGGCAAGTATCATGCAAGGCCCCTACTTTCTAGTTGAGTTTTCAGACAGACTATTATTGAGGAAAATGTCAACAAGGTTGCTATCAAGATATCTACTCATTCGGCAGTATTGAAGCCCAGGTCCCAGTGGGCCCTTACCAAGAAAAATGTCTATTTTTTGTGTGTGTGATCATAGAAAATAATAACATCTTAAGTGTTAAATGAAAATAAACAGAAACAAAATTGTAAACAATAAGATATACTAATAAAACTTTACAGGAAAAATGTTCTCAAACAGGTATTCTAAGTTCCAAACTGTCTTTAGGTAGATCTCACAACTATGTATCACAGATTGCATTATGACATTAACAAGTCCAGAAACGCCCATTTGGTATGATTAGTTAAGCATCATTTTGAAAAAGGAATTACCAATATTTAAAAATTGAACATTCTAAATATTCCAGTCCAAGACAGACAGGTTTATTACAAACACACTAATATTGGGAAGGGGTGTGATTTATCAAAACATTTCTTCAAATTCACTGTGAATTACAAAGTTATTCACGCCTGGGATTCAGGAATACAATGTTTCAACAGCAATCCCTTCACCAGTGTTCAGTCCCCTGCACGGATGCACCACTCTCTCCTTTTTCCTCCACGACTGCCTGCCACTGAAAGGGACTTTTTTAAAAATATAAGCTTTGTCAGTGTAAGAACACTAATTTAAGATTTGTAACCACTCTGCAAATTTTAACACTAAAGATAGTTTCAAAGAGTTTTATGTCACAGTATGAGCACTGTACTATCAAGTGGGTTCCGCCTTTAATCCTGCCACTAACTAGCTAGTCTCAGGGAAACCACTTCTATAATAAAAAAGCTGCCTTTTTTTAGTAATAAAAAAACTTCACTTTTATATTCCCGTCCTGCCAAAGAAGTTTATAATTCTCAGTCCACAAGTAGAAAGTGCACATAATACTTGCTTCTTTTATGACTGAATCACAATGCGCTGAAGTTCTTGGAACCTTTCTACTCTCTCCTAAGATGCCTTCAACACCCATGGTGGCAGCTTCTTTTTTCACCCCCCCCACCACCACCCTGTCACTTACTATTAACATTATTTTTGTATACAGAGATGACACTCGGGATGCATAATTAGTGGGTGACGACTAACCTATCAATTCTCATTCTGTTCTAAAAACGCCTTGTACTTTCCCAGGGACTGGCTGGCCGAAGTACAGTCTGTGGTTATGAAACAGCATCTCCCTCGTGTGTGGAATCAACTGAACCCAGGGAGCTGGGCAGAGTATCTATGACGCTCCACTTACTCCTAAAAGACTGGAAATCACTCCTCTTAATCTGTGAACAATTTGTGAACCAACAGCTAAGAGGCAAATCGAACGAAAAACTAGTATTCAAATAGTTTCACTCTTGGGGGGGGGGGAATTCATTTTTCCAAAAAAATAAAAGGGGGGGGGGCTTAGAGAGAAGGGAGACGCCTTTAATCCACTTCATTCAACAACATATTAATGTTCTTAGTCTGCGATCCTGAAATACACTCCCCCCTAAATATACTTTCCCCCTAAGACATCCAAGTTAGGAGGAAAAAAACAAGGGCAGGGTGCTAGGAGCACGGAAGCAACCCCCGAAGATGAAGTACCGGGGCACCCAAAGAATCTGGCACATCTCGGTTAAGTTCGGAGTGTAAAAAGGCTGGTTCGGGGGATACAGCACAGCGGGGAGGGCGTTCGCCTGGCGCGCGGCCGACCCGGGTTCGATTCCCAGCATCCCAGAGGGTCCCCTGAGCAGCACCAGGAGTTCATTCCTGAGCGCATGAACCAGGAGGAGCCCCTGTGCATCGCTGTGCATCGCCAGGTGGGACCCAAAAAGCAAAAGCAAAAAGCAAAAAGCAAAAAAAAAAAAAAGGCTGGTGTGGAGAGCTGGGGGGAGCCTGCAGGAAAAGGCGCGCCTCTTACAGGCAGGACCGAAAAGAGACAACTCGGGTGGGAAACCGGGCTCAGGAGCTGGGGGAGGCCGGCAACTCAGGGGAAGGGCGCAGACGTCCCGAGGCAGGATGCAGAGCCCCTCGAGGCACTCTTGAAAATCAAGGGCTTGGGGGGTCGTCCGGCATCCCCCGCCCCCGCCGCCGGCTCCCCGAGCAACCGCGCACGAGTGCTCGAGCGCTCCGAGCAGGGCACCGAGCGCGCACGGCAGACAAAGGGTCGGGGCGAGCACGCGAGGAGCCCCAGGTCTGGGGGCTGTCGGGGGCGGAGGGGAGGCCGGACCCCCCGGAGCCCCCCGAGTGCGCGGAGCGGAGCGGGAGGCCGGGACCCGCGGGCCGGCCCTCCGGAACGCCCCCAGAAGATGCTCCCACAGCGGCCACGGCCGGGAGGACCCCGGGAGCGGCGCCCGGCGGCGGGGGGCACAGCCCGGGGCGCGGCGGGGCCCGGCCCAGGCGCCGCCCCGCCCCCGCGCCCCCGGCCCAGCGCCGCCCCCTCCTCACCTGGGCGCCGCCGCCCGGCAGCGGAGCGCGGCGGGGAGACCCCGGGGACGCGTCCGCGTCGCTCTCGTCCTCCGCCTCCCGCCCGGCCCGGGGCAGGTGCCAGGGCCCCGGCGGCGGCCACGGCTGCTCCATCCGGCCGCTCCGCGCGCGCTCCCCAACCGCCGCCGCCGCCGCCAACCGCCCCGGCGCGAGGGGGACCCGCCGCCGCGCGCGCGCAGCAGCCGCCCCGGCCCGGGGGTTCCGTTACCCAGAATCCCCCGGGCGGCCGGGACGCGGCCGCGCGCGCACGGCGGGGGAGCCGGCCGGCGCACGTCACTTCCGATGGGGGGCGGGACCGTGGGCGGCGTGTCCTGAGCATGCGCGGGCCGAGGGGGCCGGGCCGGTTTCCGACTCCCTTTTCCCAGGCGCTGCCCCGCCCCGCCCCAGAGGCAGGGTGGGATTGGGGGGGGGGGGGGATGCTGGGAGCACTGGAGGTGGAGAATGGGCGCTGGTGGAGGGATGGGCACTCGATCCTTGTGTAACTGAAACCCAAGTACTAAAATGTGTAAGTCTGCAACTGTACCTCGTGATGTTTCACTATTAAAAATTAAAAAAAAAGAAAATAAATGATGAAAAAAATGTAAATGATGGAGAATGGGCACTGGTGGAGGGATGGGTCTGGATCGTTGTCTAACTGAAACCCAAGCCCGAAAATCTGTAAGTCTACAACTGTACCACGTGGTATTTCACTAACAAAGATTTTTGTAAAAATGTAAATGATGAAATACCCATCCCTCCCACGCACAAAACTGTGTAAGTCTGCAACTGTACCTCATGATGTCTCACTATTAAAATTTAAGAAAAAAGAAAAATAAATGATAAAAAAATGTAAATGATGGAGAATGGGCACTGGTGGAGGGATGGGTACTCGATCGTTGTATAACTGAAACCCATGCCTGAAAATGTGTAAGTCTGCAACTGTACCTCATGGTGTTTCACTAAGAAAATATTTTTTAAAAAATGTAAATGATGGAGAATGGGCACTGGTGGAGGGATGGGTACTCAATCATTGTATAACTGAAACCCAAGCACGAAAATGTGTAAGTCTGCAACTGTACCTCATGGTGTTTCACTAACAAAGATTTTTTTAAAAAATGTAAATGATGAAGAATGGGCACTGGTGGAGGGATGGGTACTCGATCATTGTATAACTGAGACCCAAGCACAAAAATTTGTAAGTCTACCACTGTACCTCATGGTGTCTCACTAATACGAATTTTTTTAAAAAAAGAATTGAGGGGCTGGAGCACTAACACAGCAGGTAGGGCGTTTGCCTTGCATGCAGCCGACCTAGGTTCGATTCCCAGCATCCCATAGGGTCCCCCCCGAGCACCGCCAGGAGTCATTCCTGAGTACATGAACCAGGAGTAAGTCCTGTGCATCGCCAGGTGTGACCCAAAAATCAAAAAAAAAAAAAAAAGAATTGATTTAAGAGGCTGAGTGTCTCGGGACCCTTTTCATCTGCCCACCCGATCTTTGATGGACTTTTTAACACTTGTGCCTGCTGCTAGATTGTACCTAATAAAATAAATGTTATTTGCAAAAAAGAAAAAAATACAACTCCCTCCCCCCCCCCCCCCCCCCAGCTCTTTCCAGCACTGTCTTCGCTTGTGTACTCAGTGGCTTCCCTTCTGTACGCGAAACGCCTGGAAATCGTCCGCTCTGCATCCTGTTTAAAAATTGCAGCGCTTATAACTGAAACCCAAGCACAAAAATTTGTAAGTCTATAACTGTACCTCATGGTGTTTCACTACTAAAAAAAAATAATAAAAAAAATTGCAGCACCAGTGAAATAAAAACTGCAACTCCTTCCTGTTTATAAATATAGGTGTTCTCAAGCGGGGTGGAGGGCAGGGAGAAGAGGGTCTAGAGAATGGGGGCAAACACCCAGTTTTCTGCTCCTTTCGATGTTCAAGCAATAAGAGTTCTGTGGAAGGCTGAGCCTCCTGGTGCCCAGAATGAAGCACTGTAGAGAGCAGAGCTTAAAAATGGTAACACGAGGGGCAGGTTATGGCTCAGAGGTCCAGCACCTGCCTCCTATGCATGAGGTCCTGGATTGATCCTCCACAGCCCCCACCAACCTCCCCGAACAAAAAGGAGATGAGAACATTTACTCTGATGTATCGTAATTTGATCTTGATTATTTGTGCTCTTACTACTTTTTTTTATTTAAAGAAAAAAAATAGACACTGTTAGGTCTAAGATCAGACTACCATCACCCCAGGAAACTCGACTTCAAAATGTGCACTAACAATGAGGCCTTGCTAATTAAAATTAGGGTGACAGACTTCTGAAGTTTTATCACTACTAATACAACTTCAACAAGATGTAGAAAAGATGTTGGTGAGAGAGAGAAGAAACTAGAATAGTGGTTGAGGCACTTGGCCTTGCCTGCATCAGACTACGGATTCTTGCACTGAACCAGAGCCAACCTGGGAGGGCCGGCCCTGGGGGCCTCCTGAGAGCACTGCTTGGAAGAGTGTCCCATCTCCCCCTCAAAAATTGCTAGAGAATATCACGTATGTCACTTTTGTGGGGTAGGGGGCAGCTTGTCAAGATCAAAGGTTTAAGTGCTTTGATTCAGCAGTTTCCTTACCAGAAAGTTATCTATTAAAATTATACTTACACCAACAACCAATGATTTGTCTACAAAGGTGTTTATTGCATATTTTTGTTTTAGTATGGAGGACACACCTTGCAGTGCCCAGGACCTACTCCTGACTCTGCACTCAGGGATCATTCTTGGTGGAGCTGGGGGCACATACCTGGAGCAGGGGACTGAACCCAGGTTGGGGTGTGTAAGGCAAATGCCTCACCCACTGTACTATCGCACTGGCTCCTATGGCAACTTTGGGGGGTTTGCTTCGTTTGGGGGGCTTGCTTGTTCTCAAACAGATCTTAATATGCCACCTCAGGGCATATTCCGACCTCTGTGCTAAGGAACCACTCTGACTGGGCTTAGGAGGCCCTATGTGTTGTCAGGAATCAAACCCAGATCATCCACATGCAAGGCAAGTGACCTACCTGCTGGTAGGCCCCTTTGCAACGTTTGGATAGCTATTGCAACATATTTAAGAGAGATAAGGGAAGCAATTAAATCACTCATTAATAGGAAAACTTTAAATACAATGGGATACTGTCATTCTTTAAGAAGAACAGAGAGGGGCTGGAGTGATAGTACAGCGGGTGGGGCATTTGCTATGCTTTAATAGAGTTCCCAACAGAGAACTCTTTATTATTATTATTATTATTATTATTAATTATTATATTGGATCATGGTGAGATATACACTTATAAAGTTGTTCACGATTGAGTTTCGGTCATAAAATGCTCCAACACCCATCCCTTCACCAGGACACATTTTCCAGTCACTAATGTCCCCAGTTTTCCTCCCGCACACCCAGCTCTACCCTGTCGCCATGGCACTGTGGTGTACAGTCCTGTAGTAACTGAAGGGGTATCGTGCCTCCTTTCAGCTCTCAGTTTTTGCCCAAAGTGGTCATTGCCACCTGTCATCCAAGAGAGAACTCTTGATTTTTACCCTTTCCCCAAACTTCTTGTCCTTTCAAACCTATAAAGGCTCGTCCTTCGTGCCCAAAGTAGATCAACCTTAATTCATCCTTCTCCTCAACCTCCCATATCTGAACCAATTACAAGTTTCGTTATCCTACTTGCAGATAAACCTTCAATTTTTTTTTTCTCTTCAGCCTTGTTTCTTTTCTAGCCCTGGACACCATGATCCTTTGCAGAACCACTGCAGTATTTGAAGGTTTTATTAAGTTTTCATTCTTCAGAGTCTCTTTGCACATTGCTAAAGAAATAGTACAGTGAATAGGGCAATTTTCTTCACATGGCCGATATGGGTTCTGTCCTTGGCACCACATGTGGTGATCTCTGAGCTCGAGCACTCCCTACGAGTGATCTCTGAGCACAGGGCTAAGAGTAAGTCTTGGTTTGCCCCACCTCCAGGAAATAAAAAGGAGAAAGAAATTAAATTAAGGTTTATTTCTGCACACATATATGCTTTCAACACAAATAATCCAAAGCCCAGTTTGCAAAATTTAATTTATTTTCTTTTTAACAAAAGGTAAGAAGGTAGGTGGTCCCAGGTTTGCTGTAACACTTTGGAAATATCATCAAGGATTTACATCCTTTCAGTCCTTTCCACAACACTAAGACTGCTGATTTTGATCTTCAGACTTTCATGGGTACAGGATGGTCACCACAGCTCTGGACATCACAACAAAGTCTAAGAAAGGGCCGAGGATATGGCTCAGTGGCAGAACACTTGCCTCGAATTTTTCTCTATGGTATTGCAAAAATCAACAAAGACAAAAAATTAATTTGTTTCTTAAAAGTTTCCAGTGACTTTTTCTTATTGAAATTTCTTATTTCATTGGCCAGAAATGGTTTGAGTTAATTACGGTTAATTCTCTGGAGCTATTTGCTTTGTCATCCAATGAAACTGGGGTTCTATTCACAAGGATGAAGAGCTTATGGCTTTTCAGCAGACACAATTAAATTGTCCACCATAATTGTTTTAGTTCCTGTACTATCTAGTGCTAGATTAACTTTTGAGTTAATTATTTTTAACCTCCTCTATCCTCTGCCCAGATCTTTCTTAGTGTGCTCATTGGCCTTTTAATTTCTCAGACTTACGATCTTCTTTCCTGATTCATGATATCATAATATTTGTTGATGTTTGCATATATTTTTCTCTCAGTCTTAAGAATCTTGCCAGTGGTCATATTTGTTGTCCTTCCTAAATCTTAGGACTTTGGGAAACTGGATTTATGTAATTTAGGTTCTAAAAAAGCTAACTATAAATCTCTATCTCACTCCACCCCCCAGGTACTTTCTTCCTAGTATTCATCAAACCATTACCATATTACTCTTGTCCACTTATTTTGTTTCCTCCTCTACTAGAATGCAAGGTTCATGCAGCACATATATTAGTTCTTATTCACCCTGTACCATTACCTGAATAACACATAGAAGGTTATTCAATATGCAGTCTATAGCAAAAACTAGACTAAAGGGAAATTGTGGAATTAAACATGGACAGAAAGGAGATGTAAAAAGGTGTTTTGCAGGTGAGGAGAATTAAATAGAATATAATGATGTGAAACGTAACCTCATCTTATTCACTGCTGACTTTAGGACCTAAATC